GTCTATCCATGTGTCAAGTTAGTATTTTATTCTTCTGGGTAATCCTATACTAATTTACAAAAGCTGGAGGGACGGAGAGTTTGATTTTCCTCAGAGCCTGGGAGAAACCAACATCTACGTATTGCTTAGCAAATAACCACTGATCTACACGCGCTCGATGAAATTCACTAATGTGACAAAATTTTCCACTATCTCTCGACTAGCTACTCAAGCAACTACCTACTAGCAAAACTACTTTCGACGATGTACTGATGCTATTCACTTCTCCTTCTACCACCTAGGCAGTCCACGAGAGCTGTCAGTAAAATGTCGCCTATTGAAAACACACAAATTTTTTTCATAGCTTTATTGATTGCCTAGAATGTCCAACAATGGTCCGCATGGTAAATTGAAAGCCATAAAACTTCTCTGGTTTTTGAAAGTTTGCCGCTTTTAGGATTTCATAGTTGAATCAAATTTGAGGTTAGAACAAAGCAATTTTGCTTTCCAAACCACCTGAGAAGGCTTCAATTTTCTTTAACTAGGGGAAAACACCTGTAAAGGGTTGTTTTGCGAAAGTTTTTTCGCTTATGTGTTTGGCACATTTTAGTGCATGGGATGAGATCTGAGCTCTGTCCTCGCTTGTTATTTGTCTCGACGTGGCAGCTTCGCCTTCGTGTCGAGTCAGGTCTTCTTCAGTGAGCCATCTCCTCGAATGAGGCATCCTTACTCAGTGATGCCCTTTTATACACGATGCTGATGGTGGATATAATGATGTCATTAGCATCAGCACCATCGACTCGGGTCATCGGCTCTGAGGAAGACGAAGACGTCGAAACGTTAGCCGAAAATAAACATCATTATCAACCTCGTGTAAGCTCATCAAAGAAAGAATACATATTGATTAGTGATACCGAGGTTCAAGGAAAGTCGGTTTCGAAATATAACACCAAACGTTTCTTCGAGGTGAAAAACAGTGACTTGATACCTCGATAAAACCTATCGAGACATTATATGGACCAAATATGCATCCAATCACTTCATTGCTGTTGCAAATGGAATTGAATGAACTACGCATTCCTGAGAGATTGATTAACGTCGAACGCTTCGTTCTTTGCATTTATTTACACTTGCTTATCAAAGGCTCAACTCAAATCAAACTCAGCTGCGCCTCATCCTACTCAGTTCAGTTGTGTACGAGCTGTTACGTATGTGTACGAGTACGAGTTGTGTACTAGTGGTCCCAATGACGTTGTCGAAGAAGTGTTGACAGCTAAGCGGCGAATAAGACAGTCCGTCTTGTTTTGAGCCATCGCCGGCTTTTCGTCGAATCTCTCATATTCGTTCCCAACTTGCTCATTCTCAACTAACATCTCGATAGCCGTGATGTTATATGTCCCAATAGGGGATATCACATTCAGCTTACATATAAGAGAAAATGAATGTCGTGTGGAACAACGAAAGCCTCCGAGACATCAAAAAAATCGACTACAGTATTCCATGTCATCTTTTTTCTCCTGTCGATTTCGGCTCCAATTTGTTTTTGCTGTCAACTTTATAGTAAGGAAGATTTCATGTTTGCTCTCAAGTTGTAAAATCTTTCAAGAAATACTGCCGAGTCAAATATAAGGCATATACCATTAGAATAAACGTAAAGAATCCTGTGAATTCAAATTAAAATTCCATAAACTTCGAGGAAACGAGCACAAGATTAGTGTATGCAAGTATTCACAAAGGATATTTCATTACTAAGCAGTGTTTGGTGTCTCTTGAAAGCTGGTGATTCAGTAGGGTTGTTGTGCCAGAGGGAAATCAGCTGCCGCTTCATTTTACTATTAAAAGCATTTTTTGGTAGCGGAACTATTATAGTGGCGTACTTCACGCATACATCGGGGATTGTAGCGCAACAGGTAATGCTGCCCACCCATGAGCTACCCAAACACTCATGCTTCCAGGTTTGGTAGTTGGTGCTAAACTTGACAGCGAAGTTGAAAACACTGGCAGTATGTAAATTTGCTACCAGTTACATCTACGCAGTTATGAATGAAATTGACTGCAAAGTGTATATAGAAAGATTGAATAGCGCTGAAAGCTTTATAAAGCACAGTTTGCTTGCAACATTTTCTACTTACTTATTTCTTAATCATACCTAAAATAAAAATGTGACACATTTTTAAAATTTTGCCCAGCTATTAGTTACTAATACACACAAGAAGATAAAAGGGTTTCCAAAACGTATGGTAAGAGAGTTATGATAAATGTCTCAGTACTACTTCTGTAAGCTCATCAACCGCCTAGTGAATGAAGCGAGAACAAAAATGGTCATCATTCATTCTCATCTTGTGACAAGGCTGATCAGTGTATCCAGTTGGTTCATTCATAGGACACTAGGTGTAGACATTCATTGCGTGTGATGCCCTTAACGCTACACGTTCATTTTTACCGTTTTTGGACGGTGAGGTACTAAATCACTAATGTTCGAGTTCTGCCGCGCTGTGATGATCCCATATGCTCATATAACTTTCTCATCATCTTTTTCCCGCATTACATGTGAGGTTTTGTTTGCTAGAGGCGATCCTCCTAATCGGTATTTCCAGCCACTTGATTACTAGCCTTTGGTTGAATCAGCGTGAAGGATACAATCCTCATGCACACAACAACAGCGTGAATATCCGTCCATGCATGAATGTGAATATTACGTGGATACGAAGTGTATTAGTCAATTTGGCGCTTAAGAGACAGGAAGCCCAACCCACGAATCTATCTGCTTTTCACCGCAGGACTTATATGTACAGGAACGCTTTCTAGAATCGATCTTCTCAGAAGATTCGAGGTCGCATAGTTTTGCGACTAACTAGGTGGAGATCCTTGAATGTGAAGCCGATGATTGTCAAATGTTTTTTAGCGCTCAAAAATCTAGGCATATCAGAACTGAAAGAGCAGAAACCCAAATAATGGATGTTTTTTGGTGGGTTTTAAAATAAATGTCTATCAGTCATCAGGTAGACTTAATGAAGTGCGAATTTATTCACTCTTTTTCTTCCTCTTCGTAATAAACGCTAGGCTGTAAAAAAATGTTCGAAGACCTTCCTGAACGATGAATGCGAGGAATGCGAATCGAATACTAGAGTGCAGGGATTCAAATAGTGTAGATGTGTTACGGGTCATATAGTATATAATAAGCTTTTTAGTATATACATAATACAACCTTTTTTCAAGCTTTGAGGTACTCCGTGGAGATTCGTTGATTATAAGGACTTCCGTCTCCAGCTTACAAAAGAAACTCCGTGTTAGCTTCAGTGACAAGTCCTTTGCTGTTGCAATTGATACTCTAAGAAAATGGAGGTTTTTGTTACCAAAAAAATGGGCCAGAATCAGTGTAAGTTAAATCGATCGTCAAACACCATCTGATCATGTTGTTATTGAAGCTTAGCTTTCCATTTACGTTAGTCTCTCTTTAGATAACTTTCTGTAATTCCTATAATCTTTCTTAAAGGTTTCTCTTTTTCAGATCCAAAACTTTTAAAACTATAGCTGAATTTTATGCAGTGATATTAATACTCCTCTCTACTGCTTTCCTTATAAATAGTCCGTTTAATTTTTCTGTATGTATCCCGTAGAAAATGAGTTTCTGTTGGAAAAGTTTCTTAAGAGTCATCTGTATCCAACAGGGCCTCATCTACTTTCCATACCCATAGAATTCTAAACACTCACCACAATCACAATGGTGCTGATATGTTTGCAAAACTCCGGAGAGGAGCTGAGACAAAGATGAAACAAAGGACCCGCATGGTGTGGTGGTGAACGCGTTAATCTCGGAAGGGGTAATAGCGCGTTCGTTCCTCACCGCAGACACCTGTGGTCCGGAGTTCTACAAATTTCTCAGCATTACTGTGGTTGCATCACACGTAACACACTGCTGTGAAAAATTGTAATAGGCGGCAAATAAAAAAAGTTAACAACTCACCACAATGTTGTCAAAAATTGTCCATAAATCCAAAAATTTTCTTTCTGAAGCAGCTTTCTCGAAAATAGACCAACTGTGGTGTGAGGAAGGAAAGAGGTTCTACGGAGATTCAAAAAGCGTTGAAGTCATATCACGTCAGTGTGACGGCACCTGTACGCTTTCTGTTTGACGGCGGTGACTGTGATGTTTTGCTCTGAAACCTGAACTCCTGTGTGATGTGTCTTGTTTGTGTCGTTGTTCACCAACGAAAACAAGCAATTAATTGGCCATAATCGGTACACTCATCAATGATGGGATTTAATCTTCGTCGTCGTAGTCGTAACGCTTCCGACAATCCACTGGAAACGGCTATATTTCAACTGTAAAACGAAAGAAAATAACGAATCAGCTGTTGTTCTCGTTGATAAATACGTATATATGTAGCTTTCAGGATAGTCCAAGGGGTCACGATTACTTCACTAGGACTCTTGTCCAGCTATTTCATTAGGAGAAAGAGAACAGTGTTTTAGTCCGATAGATTTCCTTTTCGTCTTACACGAGTAGTAGAAGCTCTTCGTGGAGTTCGAATGTTTTCGCAATGAAAAGCACTCATTGCCTCTAACTCATAGTGCAAACCGCAGGCGTGAAAATTAAATGATTCTGTTTTCTCTTTCGCACATATTGACAACACTGTGTTGTTCTAAAATCCTAATTACACTTTAGCTTACTTTGATGTCATATTTATGCCATATCTGTGTTTGCAACAAAGGTTGAGAGTAGCGCAGTGGTAAGTGATGCACTGCACTGCACACATGTTCGTTGGTTCTCAGACAAACCAAGCCCGCCTTCCCTTAAGGGTGGCAGATGAGCATGAGACGTGTCTGGGAAAATAAAAATACTGACCTGATTTATCTCTTATCTTCCTTAATTCAATCTACGGATCACGTATGCGCTCAATAACCTCCACCATTTTACGAATGAAGCACAATTCATGGGGTATCTCTTAGAAATTGATCACCACGGGACACCTTACTCTTTTTATTCCCCACGTACAATTGCCGCAATACAACCGTCCATGTTAACCATATATGGTGCATATTCTCTTCAGTGTCTGAGCGAATTTTTCACTCGTCTTTTCAGCTCTTCGTCTTCCATGCTATAGCTGTATGAGCCCGTACTTGGAGGATCACTATCCGTACATTTCACATCTTTACCGTAAACCGTTGTCTTTCGATTCTCATTGCGATCGAAACAAGTAAGTTAAAACAAGTCATTTAGAAAACACTTTTTTTAAACGTTATGCAGCACTTGAGTTGTTCTACAACTTCACTAGTTCGTTCGATCTTTTATCCTTGCCGAATCAATCAGTAATTTTTAAATGGAAAACTATGTGCCGACGAGTTGAACAACATTGAATAAAAAGTGATAAATACAACCAGAACGAACAAGAACTGGAGGGGTTCTTTTCAGATTATGAAGTTGATCAGTTTAGAAGAGAAATGTTCAAAGGAAAGTAAAAGATGCGAGAAGTTGACTGAGATACGCTTTACAAGTTCCTTTTTTCTAAAGAAACTGTAGCGAATTGGGCAAGTTGTAATGATGAATGTTAATATACACATTATAAGGCCATGATCCTCAAACACAGCGAGAATGTTTCAGTTTTTTGCTTTGCTCTACCTACAACTCAACTCATTGCTTTATTACTTTTCGCTACTGTGCTATGAAAACTGCGCTATTTTTATGGTGAAAATGGCATCTAGACATCTGGAAATCCTTTCTTTCTATGAGTGGAGAGGAGATTCAACTGGGTTCATTCCGACATTTCTTTCTATTTCCCTCTTCCTGCTAGTCAGTCTTGCTGCTTCCGGTGGATGGCGTGGTGGTGGTAACTGCAAGTATGTGGATGTGTGTGTGTATGTGTGTGCTTGTGCAATTTTATGTGTATGTGTATGTGTATGTGTGTGTGTGCAAATATATATGTATGGTGCGTGGTGAATAAGACGCAAATGCTTTTCTCGCTAATGGTTTGTAGCCTCGATTACTCCCGCGGGGATCGGATGAGCGATTGGGGCGCGAAATGAGTGAGACGACGGCATGTGTGAGAATGATGAGAATGGAGGAAATCCTCGACGAAATGCTGTTTAAATAAAATGCGGCTTCGCGCCTTTACTATCACGAGACGTCTTGATTTACTGAGATTCAACTCTTCCTTGGTTGTCAAAGTTTTCGAACTTCATTAGAAGGATGTTTGTTGATAGGAGGAACTTGAGTTGACGAGATCCATGACAATAGATATGAGGCATGTGGCTCGATAGTAATACTTATCCAGCAGCTCATGTGGACCATATGTGGTGCATATTCTCTTCAGTGTCACATGGCTTCTGGTTCGATCACGTACTCTGCAAGTTTTGATACCCAAATATGTAACCATTCATCTCTAAGGTGGTGGGACTGGATTTCACTGCGTAGCGGATTCTAAAGGTGAACGCCGACAAAGCTTTATGACTCCTGAATGTGAGCCTTTTAGGTTAAAGACATCTCTTAGTGATATTCCAAGCGTTTCAGAAACATTAACCATCTTTATTGTTACTTCAGTACAATTATCGCTTTCCGTCTTGATAAGATCGCCACCAAGAGATTTTGCACCTTTCCCTGCTTAGCTCCAGACTCTTTGATTTTTCCGTTTAAAAGTCTCAAAAAATAGGAAGAAATTCGTTGAACGTGTAAAATTATATCACACTTCAAGGAAACGACATGCGTACCGTATTCTTGATTAGATATGAAACCTATCCAAAGGCGTGCTGTCAGCTTTAAGTGCACATCGCACTTGATGTTGTTGAATTTATTACGGTAAATGATAGCCAATTACTAATCTTGAAATGAATAAAACTACTTCCGTGCATTTAAAGTTTGGATATAACCATAATGATGTTGAGACATTTGCAAAACTCCGGACCACAGGTGCCTGCAGTGGGGAACGAACGCGTTATTACCCATGCCGGGGCTAATGCGCTCACCACCACACATGCGGGTCATTCGTTTCGCTTGTCTTTCAGCTAATTCTATCGACCAGTGCCATCAGTGATTGACGGGCGATTGCTGATGGCGCCGATCGATAGAACTGGCTGAGGGAGGCGAAACGATTGACCCGCATGGTGTGGTGGTAAACGCGTTGGCCGCCGGAAAGGGTAATAACGCGTTCGTTTCCCACTGCAGACATTTGCGGTTCGGAGTTTTGCAAATATCTCAGCACTATTGTGGTTGTATCACACGTAATACCCTGCCATAAAAGATTTTAATAGGCAGTAAACGAAAAGTTAACATTGAAATCTGGATTTTTTGGTCATTGGCTCTTTCGGAGCATAGAACCTACAGATCAAATTCTGTTGTCATGGAACGATGAAGGATAAGGAAGAACTATAAAGTACTTCTTCTCGAAATTATATCTTATTTTTTGCAGTCTCGATCGCCGTTATCTGTTCGTAAAAAACTGTTCCGATATGTGCGTTACGCTACGAATCAACGATATCGTTGGAGGTTTGTAAATTTTGCCGTAGTAGTTTACTTCTTATTCAAATTATCCGAAACATAAGAGATGAGGACTTGTTTGTTTCCGGTGTAAAGGGTAAAACGTAGTCTCCGAAAACCAGCGTTTAGATCGAAATGTGACATTCCTTTATGGGTTTTTGGAAAGATTCAATGTCTTCCCATAAATGCAAAAAGGCAAAAGTACCGAAAATCCTTTCGCTCCGAAGATAACATTGGCAGAAGTGCTAGAAAAGTAGCCTGCGAAGACCGGCGGACGATTATCTGAGACAACGGAAGATTTCTTTCTTCGTTTGGCCAGACGGCGGTGAAATTAGGAATCTGAGCCGGTTCCAATCTTCTTTCCATTCAACCACACGAATGAGGGTCAGGGTCCGAAAAAATATGGAATGGATCCAAAAATCGCTCACTTCACTGGCAAAGAAACCCGGTTTCACCTTAGAGAAATATGAAGTTTTTTCCACAACTAGCATGTCAGCGTGTTGTTTATGGTTTCTTATGTTTAACAAAGAAAGAGGACCGTATTGGACATATTAGTGAATCGTGACGGATACCTAGGATTATACTCCAGAAATTGAAATGTTATCAGACAGGAGGTATGGAGACTTTTTATGATGTTCTGAGTGTTTTTTCTTCTTTGCTGAAGTAAATGAGAGGGATGGAAATCCTTCGTACTAACGAAACCTTTCTGATATCTCTCACTTATTGTCTCAGAATTTCTAAGGAAGAATCCTGGAATCTTTCTACTTACTCTCTATTATTTTTCATGACAGGGTATTGTGTGAAGCACAACCGTGATAATGCTGAGATTTCTGCAAAACTCCCACTAGATTCGAACCCACGATTACTTCTTATGGGGGTTTACGTGTTACCCACTCTACCGTTGAAGTCCTCGTTTTGCCTTTCTCTTGGCCAGTTTTTTCTACACTAATAGTTCCATCGGCAATTACCCGTCAGCAAGAAAGATCTGAGCAGCACAAGTCGGAACTGAACCCAGTTAAGCTGAGGCTGTAATCCTGGATTCCATCGCTGATCTAGTGCCATTACCAGTGGATCTTTTTAGATTTTGAAGTTAAATGACAAAAAATTCAAAAACCTGGGGGAGAACCACAAGATTTAAGAGGATCTTGCTCAGACATACAACACATTACAGAAGAACTGCATGCAATTGGTCATTATGTTTATCTAAATAGAATTAGTGATAAAGTGACTGCATTTTGATAACAAGTTTTGTTGTGGTAAAAAAAATAATCAGGTGTATGATTGTGTTGTGTTCTAGGCACCTCGTTTAAGATTTATGCAAGTCTTCAAGATTTGTTGCTGTTTGCGCTGATTAGATCAGCCGTGATCATATGGAAAGTTGAAGTGCCAGTCAGAATGTGAATGAGGCGTTAGATCATCCAATACATCGCACGCCGCCATCACAGCTATGAACGCGCGTCATAAATAGCGCGCGTTTCGTCGCTCACCTATAATTGTCATCCTTCTGCCTTCAGTTTCCTTCCATTACTCTGGCAACTCGGGAATGATGCCGCTAATATTATAATAAATTGAGGTTAAGGAACAAAGGATAATACGTTAGACCTTGTCAATCCCTTAATGACGTGGCATGCATTCGACTCCATTTGTAGGGTCGTAGAGGTGGTTGAATATATCTTTGATTTAAACAACGACTTTGGATAGCCTATTCACATCCTATGTGCCAAATCAGCGATTTTATCCTCTCGGTTAAATCTGGCACCAATTCACTGACTTTCGTGGAATAAAGGACTTAGTCTGTTTGGGGATCCTGATCAAAAAACGATTACCTGTATAGGACAGCTTTGAGCACAACCACGTTGCGAGATTTCGGATTGAAATAATAGTACGGGAAAATTTCCTCGCTGATAACTCTCACTTTTAAGCTACTTATCAATCGAATTCATTAAGGCAGTAGATTCATATCAAGCAAGCAGTGAACATTCAAACGCCCATATGCGTATTTTCCCATTCCTCTGCTCTCAAAGAATGGGAAACGAATCATGCACGCTGATGGTATGTCATCAAACTGGGCTGCATTGCTGTTTTAAATTCAAGTTATTGAAGTAAAAACTACAGACTATTCCAAAAAGGCTCTATCTACAGAAAGTTTTCCGTCAATTTTTTTTGCAATTTTGTAATATGCTGACAAAACAATATTTCTCTACTCTATAAGATGTTTGCTGGACATTTTTTGTTGTTGTTGGTGAGAAAATAGAAGCAATTATTAAATATGAAGAGGCCTGTCTGGCGCAGTGGTAGCAGGCGCCTTGCAATACACATATAGAATGGATCTCCGCGCCCGTGGCTCACCGAGCCTTCCATTCCTCCGGGATCGGCAAATTGATGCCAGACTCGTCTAGGAAGATAGCAGCGCTAGCTCGATACATCGGTAGGCTACCGGGAGTCGTTGTAAGGGGCAGATATGCATTCAACCGTATTCGAATGCACGGCGTATCCCTCAGGGATTGATAAACGCGGTGAGCTTTGTCTTTTTATCCTTTCATTAAATTATTAATTATTGTACTTTTATATCAGGAAAAATTGGTGTAAACCAAGTTATATCGTTACAAACATCTAGAAAATAGCTGAAATTGTGTAAATGTACGTATAAATCTGTTGAATATATAAGCTAATAAATACAACTTTGCAAATCTGGGCATTCACTTTACTAGGATGACTGGTGTTAAAATATAAAAATCCTCTGTTCCACCGTTTTCAAAACGTTTTTTATTCCTTTTTTTTTTCTCCTTGCCCACTGCCGTTGAAGGAGACATGCCAATGGCCATTACAATTCACAAGGCACACATTAATCAAACTTGAGATGACAAATGTGAATTCCTCAAGAAGCTGCCTTTCTCTGCTGTTATTTCTCTAATCTAGCTCCTTCTCATTCATTTTTTTAGTTTTAACTAATTTAGTGGAGGAAATGTTGCGGAATTTCTAAGGCTAGGGTGGCTAGCTTGTTAGAGGTGAACTGAAATGCACATGGATTCGCTAGTTCGATCCCGCGCTCTTAGCTAATAAACCAGGACCGCGCGCGCTAGGCAAACTGTCTGTGAACATAAAAAAGTGGTTTACTATAGCAGTCCTGCAGATCATAGTGTAGACGTGATATGCACTTAATCGTTTCTGCAATGCTACGAATGGAGTGGAATGCAAAGCGCATCTTGAGGAACCGATCAACACTGAACGCTTTATCATTTACCTTACATTTATCTACTTCTATTAAATATTTGGAGGTTTCTTCAATTGAATTTGAATCTGGAACTCTAAGAAAACAACTGATTATCAGAAATTTATTTGGTCTTTCAGTTAAAAATTCTATATTTACTGTAGTAGATGTATGGCAAACAATTAATCCTCAATCATATAAGCCTTCTAGGGTGAAAAAGGAGTGAAGAGGAAAATGTTGAGGGGTTTCGAGAAACTGCACAAAATTTTCGAAGCACTAATGCTTTACTGATATAGGGTTGCATTGTACGTACTAACGCAGTTGTTCAAATTTTCGGAAAAGCTCTATGTTATCTTTGAAGATTGTCGAACTGACGGTATCTAAGGTAATAGTTAGTAAAGTAGAACTAATAGGAAATGCTCGGAGTATATTCCAGATTGCACAAAACATCTTAGACATGACCCAAAAACACGTTAGCAGCTGACTTTGGCAAGACTGCGTGACGATTGCTACTCAACTGTTTATTTATACAACCTCGTTTCATACATAATACAGACACATAATTTCTTTCATTCAGTTGATTGTTCTGCATCCGTTCTTGACGGCGGCCTGCGGGCGAGCATGTGAGTTCGTCTACCACCTGAGTACTTTTTGTTCATGATTATTGTTGAATGCTGGTCGAGATTATTCAGCCTCAAATCTTGAATTAGTTCTACTAAAGCCTTCTCATTTCTCTACCATACAGTCGGTCGTCGACTTTGTGCGCTGTAGGCAGTTTTTACCAGATAAGCAATCTGCCGAGCCCGGAGCAGTCTGCTCGGTGTTCGGTTGAGCCAACGGCCATGATCATCTATTGCACGACATCTGTAACTGTTGCGTTTTATGCTCCCGATTACAGCGGTTGTATAGAAGAATTCTGTCTTGTTCATGACACTGGTTTTGAATGAATTTGACCAATTTGTGAAGCTGTAGCGGCAGCCGTCGCAGAGGTTGGAGTTGGAGATAGTTCTTCGTAACACACTGGTTTTAAATCCCATCCACAACAGGGAGGAAAGTCTTTGACGTGGTGTTTCGTTTCAGATTATATGTGGGAGGTTTTTATCACCAGTATCAGAGTCTGTTGCGAGTGTAGTTAAAGTGAAAGACCCAGGTCGCATCGGTAACAATTAACATTTTTCTTCAGAGGCCTTCTGCAAAAATGAGGTCCTTCCTTTCATGACCTATTTTGTCAAAGTTGATGAAGAATTATATCGAGTAAATATGTGAATCCCTAACGTTGTTGTCAATGAAACTATGGATGCCTTACAGTGTATGATGGTGTCTACGTTGAGGGCATCTCATGGATGATTTTCGAGGGGCATCTGGCTAACTGCTGCGTTTTGGTATATTATAATGCGAAAAAGTCGCCTGTCACCATCTTTGAAATTGCGATGGGCAGCGGCGGTTCGTTTACCAGCGAGAGTGGCTTGATTGAAAAGGGGTTTGAAGTCTCGGTAAAGTAAACCTCTGCCGTTGTAGAACCCGGACAGCTATCCGTGGTTACATTCTTGTAAAAGAAAGTAGTGACTTCACAGTAAAGATATAACGTTCCTTCGTGCCGTATCCTTAGCACCGTTGTGTTGTAAGGAATATTGGAGATTTCAATGCTACGAGACCGAGTTAATCGACGAAGAAGAACTACCAATGACAAAGGCGATAGGTGATTCTTAGAGGGCGCTGGAAGACGTAACAGTAAGTTGACTTCTGTGAAGATTTCTTCGAAGTCTCTTCCAAACTGTGATTTATGGGAACTTTAAGGTGGAAACACAAATAAAAGACTAAAATAAGTAGCTGAGAGACAGGTGAAGCGAAGAACTTGTATGGTGCGATGGTGAACGCATTATATCCCGGAAAGGGTAATAGCGCGTTCGTTCTCCACCGCAGACACCTGCGGTTCGGAATTTTGCAAATATCTCAGGTTGAACTTATGCTCAGCATCGTTGTGTTGTGATATTCACACGAATCCTTAACAAAGCTTTGATGATTCTTCAAATAATGCTTGATTCTAATAACTTAGGTATTTATCTGTTGTCAGTAGTCTACACTCTTTTTCTTTGTGAAATCGTTTCGATAGAAATCATCTTTTTATCATCTGTTAAGTCCGTAGGTTCTGATGAATTATTCGTCATGCTACAATTAATCGATATTCATGTATTGTATAGAGTTTTAAAAAAAAACTCTTAAGTGTAAAACGGTAATTGTATTTATTTCTTATACAAAACCAATAATAATATACGATTCATTGCGGAGTTTTGGAGTTTTTACAAGCATTTAGCTACTTTTATTCATATGAGTTTGTACCGCTTAATGCGCAGGTTCTAGAATTTCTTTCATTCGATTAGTTTTCTCATCCAAAGTGTTCGGACTTATCGTGTGAATTTCACTGCTCTTTGGGGATTTTCGATCTTATTTGTTTCTATTTATGGTTGATAGCCGAGTGGATTTTTCCTGGAATCCTGAGATTGTCGTACTAGTGCGTTTTCACGTTCATTGGAGATCGCGAATTGGTCCCACACAAGTCTGGCACCGATTTCCCGACCTCAGAGAGATGGAACACTTTGTGGATCCATACCGAGGCTGAACCTTCAGAATGGATATGGTGAGAATGAAGTTTAGCTATGTAGGCCTTGCGAACCCTTCTCGTCTTCAGCTGGCCAAAGTTTGGTATCAGACGTTCTTGTTTTCGTTCGATGACTTTCGACGTTCGAAGACAAATTCCCCTTCTTTAGAGCCAGCACGTGTTTCATGTAACTTTGGCCATATAATTCAGTGAGACACCTTTAGTACCGTATTTTATTAATTAGCTAACACGAGGTTGCTATCACGTAACATCAGCAATCTTGCTGAGGTCTATAGGAAGTCGGTCTTATGGGATCGTTGTCGACTTCGATGCGGTCAACCATGGCAATCACTTTATTAGCGATAAAAGTAATACCTCGTTGGTTCGTAGAACGTGTGATGCAGCGCTTTCTCATTTAATTAAATGTGGCTTATATTGAAAAGGCGAGTAATATTTTTGTTTCGTGCCTTTAAGCATGAATGACAAGAAAGACTTTAGATTACTCATACTTGGAAAAACAGTTTCGCTTAGACCATTAGCACATCGATGAGAAGAAGGAAAATTAGATTTGTCATAGCAGAGGATTTTATTCCGTTGGACAGGCTTTTCAGTAACGAGAGTTTTGTCAAGGCTCTTAAGTGGACGCATGAATTGATATCAATGCTTTTTTTCTGTTTTAATTTGCCGCAAAGAGTCTTTTTTGCTATTTGTATTCGAACTCTCCAAACGGTTTACCGGCTCATCATGGCTCGGAGGTGTTCCTGGGTGTCGGAACCCCCCGGCAGGGCCTCCTATGCTGAGAAGGAGTCCGGTGTTTCCGTCAGGAAGCCCAGCTAAGAGCACGCATGGTGGCAAATCTATCTCTGATCCACATGAACAGCCACTGCCTGTGGTGGTGACGACCTGGAGCAGACTTTGGCCAAGCTGACCACAGAGCTTTTGGGAAACGCAATGGCCGAATCATCAAAACTCTGAGGAATGAAAAATATGCTGGGACCCGCACAACCAGTGAGAACGGGCCGTCCAAGTACCCAAGTAAGTATTTGTGTTCTAACTAAAACTTGTCGAACACACGTATATATATATTTTCTGAGTCAGTACACTAGCGCCAAATTTGTTTGGGAAGAGAAAAACACTGATTTCATAGATTGGTAGGCCTTCCCGAGTCATTTGTGATAGGCGGAAGGTGCATTTAATCGCCTTCACGATGCTGCGAATGGGGTCAAATACATTTCGGTTATCGTTGATGTCGTTTGTCATTGTTGGGGATCACGAGAGCTGCCCAGTCCACACTTGCTTGAAGTGGAAGAAGACCATCGTGTTTTTGGTATGAGACACTTTACTTTCTACTGTTTCGGCTAGAAGGTGATGAAGGGCAGCTCTTCGGGCTTGCGTGGCATTGGTTTCTCCTCGTCAAAGCTTCTGGATGACAATGTCGAGCTTCTTAAATTGAGTGAACCTTCAAGGGTTTGAGCGCTGGTAAAATTTTTCTTCACAATTTCATACCTAGAAACAGTTCATTTTTTTCCGAGTCCCGTGGGTGCACTACTCCACTGAGCTAAACAGAATAAACTGCAACAAGTTTAGACGAAAGCTCGGCAAAATAGCAAAAATACGATAAGATTCGGATATTAAAGTGCTGAACTAAAAGCGTTATACTCAATAAAGATTGATGGTCATCACTAATGTTATTGATTTACGGTGCTACCGTCCTAATTCTCGATTCATTGATTTTTGAGGGTTTGCTAATTCTATAAACAAAAAGGCGGTCCGAAGATTGGTTTATAATGACCAGTATGGCCATATGAGTCCATAATTCGTTGTGTTGTGTTTTATTATGCACGGATCAATTTAATGTTAAGTGATTTACGATAAAGAGCTTATGTGATGTAGATTGGAATCAGACTTGTTGTGAAGTTGAGGAAATCGGCTCTTCATGTCAGCAAATGAAAGAGAATGGCGACAGAATTCTGTCACTTTCGTTACCAAGCCATATACTGTTTTTCTCGAGTCAGATATCATTCAATATTCTTGCCCATTTTCAATCTATGGCTAAAAAATGTTAATTTTTTCAGGACGACGGAGACATGGCTATGTTCGTGGTTGTTTGTCGGATATACACGGATATAATCACAGTTTGATTCGAGCGCTTGCAGAACGAACCGGATGTCTCGGTAGGTTTTCTATAGCATCAAGCATTCAACTTCACCAAGCACGGCTATTGATGATTGGACGCATATCTGGCCTATACAATGACTCCGAATGCTCTACCGATGTATCGAGTCAGTGCTGCCATCCTGCTAAGCAAGTTGTATCAATTCGCCGGTGCTACAGGGATGGAGGGCTTAGTAAGCCAGGAGAGTGAGATCTAACCCATGGTGTATTGCAGGGCACTTTTAATCACTGCGCTACACCAGCCACTAAATTTTTTCTAATACGGAGCGATGTTTCGAAGAACTCAAGTTTCTACAGCAAATAGTTTGAAAAAGCACCATCAGCAAAATCATAGCTGTTTGCTTGAATAGCTAGATGGTTCTTCTTGTGTGTGTTATAAGCTGCGAAAAATTTTTTTCTTTTGATTTCTTTTTCTTCTCGATTAGGCAAGTTTCGATCTTACTTTCGTGAAAATGTTGGCAACCTCTATCACTTGACGAACCTTATGGATCGAGGAATTCTTAGTTCTTCCCACTAGATTTCATTCTGGACGGCAGCAATTCGTGGAGACTTCATTGGTCCACTCTTAAATGAGGCTTAGAAAAAATTACGAAGGCCTTGTTGACTGCCGTAACCGCACTGACGAACGTTGTAGGAAACCCTTATTTGACAGCTAGCAACAAACCACTGCCATATTAAGGTGCTAATCCAGTCAGGAAGAAATCATCAGTGAACAGAAGATCTCCCCCCTTTCCACATGTCCGGCCGTCATCGCATCTAGGCTTCTACTCATTTTTTTTGTCTCGCAGCCATCATCACTAAACATGATCGTGTTCCTGAGTGGAATCGACAGTGGCTTGAGCATGAGTAACCTGCTTTCGCTACCGGTATTCCAAATGCTATGCTGGAGTGGTTGGCTTATTCGAGCAGGGCAACTGTGATGGGGTGTTTCCACACTTTCGTGATGGATAGTAGTCGAGCCGTGTGAATGAAGGAAAGTTTGCTGTCTTACGACCAAAATTTTTCACTTTCGATAACGATTCCAGCAATTTTCGATATCGACTAAGCGAAACAGCAGCTTGTTTTGACACTTTATTTTATTCATATTGTTTATAGTTAAAGCACCTGTCCTCAAAATTAGTGCTGTTCCCAACACTTGCTCTGTTCGCTTCGTTGTCACGCAGCCGTTGCTCACGGAAGTGGTAGGGGGTGTGGACTCGGTTCGACTGTGGTGTGATGATCTATCGTCTTTTCTACTGATTGATACATTGAATTTTGAACAGGTATCATTTTCTTTAGAAGCATGCTGTAGTTGTTCTATTGCTTCCCATGGTCTTCACTATAGGCAGTCGTTTCGAGTTGTGAGTGGGAAGGTGGTTAATACTTTTCGACTCTGTTCCTTCCAGCGATTCTTACGATTAGTCGACCAACCGCTTGAGGGTATTGAGTCGATCTCATTCCTCTTTTCTATGAACGTGAAATAAAAAACATGGAAAAATTACTCCGTCTTCATTAATCACTTTAGGATGCGCCACACGTTTGATTCCATTAAATATCGCAGTGATGGTCGAATGAATATTTGGCCTATATACAAAGGATAAAGGTCTTTGCGTTGATCAATTCCTGAGGGATGTGCCATGCATTCGACTTCATTAAGTATCGTTGGATGTGATTGAATGCATATGTGGCCTTTGCAATGACTCGCGGTGGCCTACCGATACAACAGGCCAGTGCTGCTATCCTCCCAAGCGAGTCTGGTATGAATCTGCCGACCCCGGAGGGATAGAAGGTTTGCTGGGCCATAGTCGCGAGGATCGATTCCACGTGTGCGTTGCATTGGCGCCTCCAGCCACAACGCCACACGTGCCCTTTATTTTCCTTTTTCCATATTTGGTGTATATATGGACTAGTAATGCTTTGTCGATGTACCACGCCAGTGTTTTTGCGTTCTAAAAAATACCTTCTTGATGTTGTGAACCTGAGAATTATGGGAGGCGTGATTTACTCAGGAAGTGGGATCGAACCAAGAGCTGCGTTGGTGTTGCTGAGCACTTCTAAGCACTGCGCAAACATGGCATATGATCTTATTAATTGACCTAATAATTTGCAGAAGATCTCGAATGACATAAATCCTTAACTTTCAGACACGAACGCTCGTCAACTGTTTCTACCGACGGCACTTCGTCAAGAACTCGAGCCGTCACGCTTGGCTATTTGTGGATGTCACACCAATCTGTGCAATTCCTCACATCCAAGGGATTTTCCAATCGCGGTTTCAACTGTCTTCTTCCTCGTCCTAACTACCATATTTTAGTGTGATTACGGGTATGATTGCCTCTCTAAGTAAAAAACGAACAACTTTAATGATTTGTTTTTCTTGTATTCATTCACTGAATGTTCAGGCATTTTTTCATTCATCGGCGATGATTCATTGAATTGATGGTGAGATCGTCCTCTATAGTTGTTTATTGTGTGTAACATCTTTTTTGTCTAAAATCTGCTGCTCCGCTCAAACCAATGATATCAGATGAATAAATAGAGTTTTTTGTTGAATTTCCTATTGGCTCTGTGGTGCACACTCGTTTTTGAACCTTATTGACGTTAGCACTCTCACTCAATTTCTTATAAGACGACAATCAAATATTGTGCCAATCTCAGCACTTCTCTTGGTTGGTTCATTTTCATGAATCCGTCGTCCACAAAGGTATTAAGACGTGGACGTGGATTCGGCTACCATTTGATACCTTTTATTCCTTCATGAATTTCGCCGCTCGACCGAGTTGATTCATCAAAGATTAGTCTACCGAAACATCTCCAGGCCTTCAAAAGTGGATGTCATCGAGTTTTTTGGCTCGGGTACAGCTATTCCTATGCAAGTTGCATAGCGATTTTCCCACCCCGAAGGGCTATGAGACTCCATTATCCCAGATAAGGTTGAACCAATGAGTCCTATTATTTTGTAATATCTCAAAGCACTGCACTTCTCGCACCCTCTTTTACCAATAGAATTTAACCAATTTTTTCGCTTATTCCTGTCAGTGCACACAGACCATAGGAATGACTAGAGTGGAACCGTATTCTCTCAACAATAGGAAGAAAAAAACAGGTTACGTTTGGCGCTCTACTTTGGGCGCATGGATTGGAATGGAACGAACAGGGAGAGCGGCTATCTGAGTTTATCATGGCGACCAAGACAATCCATGGTAACTCGCAATTCCAGAAGCCTAACCCTCAACGCTGGACGTGGGAGTCTCCCAATAGAGAATACCATGACGAAATAGACCACATCATAGTAAATAGAAGGTGCCTAACCGATGTCGTTGTTATCCCAAAATTCTACACGGGATCAGACCATCGTCTCCTTCGTGCAAGATTCTATTTCTCGCGGAAGGGAAAAAAAGCTGCTAAACTCCAAATCCGAGGTCCTGGAACCACCGTAAACTGGGATTTATTCAATTTATTAGTCGGCTGTTCGGAAGATGTCGTTGTCAATAACATCGGCGAAGAATACGATCGGCTCATTCAACATTACTCGAGCTGATACGCCAGCGTAGAATCGCACGAGCTGCAGGCCACCGCGAACTAACGTCCGAATTTGGAAAACAATGCAGACGGGCGATAAAAGAAGATTTTAAAGATCGAAGAAGAGCAATAATGGTCGAAGCTGCAGAGGCTGGGAGAAGCATTCGCAAAGTCCACCGAAGTTTCGCCAATTACGGGACCAAGATGATTGCACCCCGGCGCCTAGATGGAACACTTACAGCGTCCAGAAAGGCATTGGAGAAAATTATTCACGAATACTACCCAGATCTCTTCGATAGCCACTTCCACACTCCGTCGCATGAAATAAAGGAGGATGGATGTGTTGAACCACCGGTTCTCCCTTCCAAAATCCGATATGCCATTTCGTCGGTGAAAAATCGAACAGCACCAGGTCCGAATAGGGTAAGACCAGAACACCTGAAGAACCTTCCGCCAGTTCTAGTAAACACACTGGCTCGGCCCTTCACAAGTTACTTGTCTAAATGCAAGGTCCCTACTCAGTGGAAGACCAGCAAGACCGTGTTATTGTTCAAGAAGGGTGACCTACGCGATATCGGCAACTATCGCCCAATCTGGTTACTGTCTGTCGTCTACAAACTTTTCACTCGAGTCGTCCTAAACAAGATTGACAGAACACTGGACGAAGGACAGCCACGCGAGCAAGCAGGATTTCGAAAAGGATTTAGTACGATGAACCACATCCACACGATAACAAGTCTCACTGAAGTATCGCAAGAGTATGAAAGACCGCTCTGTTTCACTTTCATCGATTTACAAAAGGTTTTTGATTCAACTGAGATAGAAGCAGATTTGGAAGCCCTTGATAGTCAAAGAGTTCCTACTTAGTACAGTACATAAAGAATCTTCGTGATCTGTACAAAAATTTCACAGCCAAGATTTTATTATTCTACAACGATATTAACAACGACGTCAAAAGAGGGGTTTGGCAAGGCGATACCATCTCGCCAAAATTATTTACCGCCACCCTCAAGAACGTCATGCGTGCATTGGAATGGGATAATATGGGAGTGAAAATCGACGGTCGGCAGTTGCACCACCTTCGCTTTGCTGTTGACAACGTCCTTACAACACCAAATATTAGGCAAACGGAACATATACTTGCCGACTTTGATAAAGCCTGTGAAAAGATTAGTCTCCGACTAAATCTCACAAAAACGATGTTCATGAAGAACGGATTGGTTTCGCATGCCCCATTCACGCTCAACGGAACGAATATCTCTGAATGCTCCAGTTAAATCTGTGTAGGTCAGGAAATGAATATCATGAACGATCTAGCTCCAGAGCCGAGCAGAAGAAAACGAGCGACTTGGGAAACTTTCAAGAGCATCGGGGATGTGGTGAAGAGGAAAGGAAAAGAACACCTGACTGCGTGACCACCTTTTCGACTCAACGGTACTTCCTGCCCTAACGTATTCGTCAGAAACTTGGTCGCTGCGCAAGCAGGATGAAAGATCAATCAGCGTTATCGAAAGCGCAGTCGAATGGACGATGCTAGGAGTATCCCTTTGCACACAAGGGATAGGATCCGAAGCTCCGATCTGCGTCAACGATTAAAAATCAAAGATGCCGTTCCGTACGCCAAACAATCGAAGATAAGGTGGGCCGGATGCGTAATGCGTATGAATGACAACCGATGGACAACAGCCGTTGGTGACTGGATTCCTCGGGATGTCAAACGTAGTGCAGGAAGACCGCCGACCTAATGGTCAGAGTTTTTCACAAAGAGCCTTGAAGAAAGATATGATGCTCGGCAAGTCCCTAGAGCGAGGAGGACCCATTGGGCTACTCTTGCACGCGACAGAGAAAAATGGAAGATTTACTGGCGCCTGCTCGAGCCACTCGACGATCAACGGGACTACAAGTGAAACAGGTGATACTCTTCTTTGGTCAGAACTATAACTTGGTCAAGTTGGGTCGTCTACTATTTTTTCCTAGGCTTACTTGTGACTTTACTGGAGTATTATCTCTAAGAAAGGTTGGTGAACTAAACTCTTTGTATTTTTTTAAAGCATTCTGTTTAAATCAGAATAAAAATTCAAGATATTGTTGTTTTATTCTTTTTATTTCATTTTACATGACCCGTCCTCTCGCCTACTATACAGATCTCAGCACTTCCCACATTCGATTCGTTTCCTCGCATCCATTGCCCACCAAGATTTTCGAACTTTTACGTGTGGCTTCGGTTGCTGCTTGAGGATTTTCATTCTATCTTGAATGTCATAGAATGCTTGTTGACCAATTCTCTCTGGAATTTTAGGATTGCCGAGCTAGAGCGTTCCTAATTGGATTGGAGAGGATGGTTTTCTTCTTAGAAAATCTGGTACGAATTTACTGACCACGGAGGGATGAGAGCCTTGGTTTACCCGTAGACTGCTCGTGATGACTAAAATCACTACCACTGTGCTACCCGCCCTCTTATTCGTTAATTGCTGAACATATACTAAAATTGCAATAATTAATGAGATAAATCATCATGTTATTCAATAACGGCCACACTCACCATGAAGGCCATCGAAACTGAAAACCATGAACTCCATAGATGTTTTTTTTCTAAGACATTTTTTGAAAAATTTTGAAACAGCAAGAATCTTTAAAGTCGACATCTCGTATAATGGCAAAAAAAGAAAACAATCAGAAAACCAGCAACCGATTCTCATAAATAAGGAAGAGACTTCGGTCTTAAAATAAAGTTTCTTGGAAAATACTTAGTGAAAGTATTAATAGAAGAAAAGCAGCACGTTGATTGATGAGCAGATAAATTTGTACATATAAATTTTATAATTTAAAAAAAGAGAAAAGAATAAGCCGTTGAAGAGGAGAATGTCATAGATTGTGCAGATTGAACAGGGGATCGTAGGTCATCGGTGGCGGAAAGTACGCTGTCGCGCTACCGTACCCGAATGCCTGCATGTCTGGAAACGGCGCCTCGATGCTTAAATTCGGCTTCGAATCGCAACCACTTGAGCCATCATCGCTTTCCGACTTCGCTGAATTTCTAAAAATACCTCTTTCGTAGGAGTCTGGTACGTGCATTGTTTTTTTAAAGGAATTAAGCAAGAAAAGTGGGAAAAAGTTGGAATTTAAATTCAATTTCTGGATGCATTCTTGAATATATGTGTTGAGGAAGGGTGAGGTTGCCTCATTCCGGCAGTGGTCCACTGAAGGATATCCGATTCGATACGACGACGAATAGGCCACATCGAGAGGGCGAGTGACTGTGGACCACCAACTCGGGTCATCGGCTACGACGAAGACGAAGAGAACGAAACGTCAACTAACTAAACATGTCTATCGACGTCGTCTTAGCGTTGCAATCCAAAAGTTATTAATATACGTTGATTTCAGTACACAGCACGAAAAGCGATCGAAAATCGGTTTGTCGAAAAAGAAACTGGTTACTGAACCTTTTCTCAAATTTTAGGTGGTATAGAGGCAGCGAACGTTTGGTAGTGCCGCCAAAATTTATCTGGTTAAGCTCAAATAAACCATGGCATGCAGAGACATGAAATTGAACAAGTCTCTTAAAAAGTACAATAATTATAAAATCACTCCGCAAAATGGCAATGAGATGATATCTAACCCTTCGAAGCTAATAAATGGAGGTGATTCAGTGTCGGAAATTACGACTTGAAATCTTAGCAATCAGCTGGCAAAGGGTGACGACTTTGGAAAGTTTACCACAAATTTCAAGAGTCTAGGAAAGGTCTTGCCCAGCCGGTAAATTACCGATTGCATAAAAATTACTGTGTAGCCAACACGATTCTCCGTAATTCATGATGATGAGTCTCCAAATAGAGAAAAGGATAGCACTAGAATTATGGCGTTAATCTCTAGGAAAGGTCAGTATTCAGTTCAAATCCGCTTGGCGCAGATTCCTCTGTGGTTGTCTACCTAACGATTGACCTTCACGGTGGCTTTTGCGATGCGAACGCCTTTGTTCATCGTGGTGGGGTGTACTGTACATGTTTAGGCAAACTCGGTTAAAGCAAACTTAGTGCGAACGAACAATGGGAAGCGCATATTGGTTCAAGCGGCTCTTGAAAGGTGTCAAGACGCAGCTACCAGGAGCTGGCCAGGCCATTTAGAACAACCAGGAAGCTCGGAACCACTTTTCGAAAATGGTGAACATGTAGACAAAAAACAACTGGTAAATAGTAAAGGATGAAGCGTTTGGCGTTACTCAACCTTCTAGGGATGAGTATGTATTCGATTTCATTAAAGATCATTGAAGGTGACTGAGTGCATATTTGGCTTATACAATGAATTTCGGTAGCCAGCCTTCTGATGTACAAAGTCAATGCAACTCGCTGCCAAACAAGTCTGGTATCAGTTCGCCAACTCCGGAGCGAAGAAGTGTTTGATTAGCCCAGGACGTAGGATTGAACAGTCGGCACCTCTCGCTACTGCTCAACACACGCCCTATAAATGCTTAGTAGAAAAATGAAGGCCCAGAATATTTGTGTCGTCCATGTCATCTATAACAATCATGTCTCCTGATGGAAATTTTGTGAATAAGTAGAGGTTTCCAGATACTGCGCAAGAGTATTGAAAAACTGAACCTTCCGTCACCAATGATGAACAAATTCGATCCAGGACTTCTAAGAAACCATTACCCTTTGGTAGTGGAATAAAAAGAAAGTGACATTAACAGTTCTCTAATTGGTTTCTATCGTGCTAAACCTATCATAGACAAAAAGGTGCTCTACTAAAATTGCAAGACAAAAATGGTATCTTCTGTGGAACGATTCCAAAGATTTCACCAGACTCTTAAGATTTTTCTTAAAAACTTTTTGTTAAAAAATTTATGTTGGGCGAAATGGCTCTGTCCTAAAAAAACCTAAAGAAGTTTTCACAAACCCTCTAAGTTTCATAGTTTAATAAAACTTTACAATGAAGGGACTGTTCTTTGTTATAATGGTGGGTCGCAGTTTTATGATTTGCTACGTGGTAAAATACCATGTAAAAAAGAACTGATGAACTGGTTTCTCCAATTTTTATTTATTTTCATTTCATTTCTTTTCTCTTCTTTTTCTCTTGAAAACTCGGTTCGTCGACCGCTTCCGATAATTGATTATGTACACACGCGGCAGCCGGAGGAATACGGTAACAATTAGGACGAGTTCACCGCCGACACGGGGTATATTTTGCTAGTTGTACAACCCCGAAAGTTCAATTAAACAAAAAGAAACAGATGATGGTTACTGTAGACTGTAATGGGTAACCATACCTAACCTTGTTATTCAGACATTTGGATGGTTCCCTTCAAAATCCGAGGCCGCTGTTTAAAAAAAAATGAAAGAAAGGTTTAAGGTAATCACATTTTATTTACTGCCTATTCATTTTCTTCTTTATGAAAGGCCATAATGTAAAGTGTAACCACAATTATGCTGAGAAATGTGCAAAATTTCGGACCATAGGGGGCAGCGGTGTGAGCCGAACGTGTTGTTACCCTTTCCGGGGTCTAACGCTTTCACGACCACATTCATACGTGTTTTTCGTTTCGTCTTTCTCTCAAGGCTTTAAGTTATAAAAGATTGCCACTGAAATGGGCAAGTGCAAAATCTTAATAGAGCTCATTTTAATAGAAGAAAAGTAGTGTCGATAGACAACTATTTAACGATTATTCGCTCTCTCTTCAGTAATCACTTAAAAGATCGTCAGTTTGACCACTAAAAGAGGACCGTAATTAAACCTTGCAAGGATGGATGGGTTAAAATAAGCCTTTTTGCTTTTAAACGCTCTTAACGCCGTCCTTACTCAGGTCCTTGTTAAGAAGTCATTCATTAAGCTCGAGACTTGCCACTTCATGTCGATGTGTTGCTGGTTTCTGTTTTTCTTCATTCCTAACTACTGCGACAAGCTCAGGACATTCCAGTGAGCAGCAACTGCTGTTGGACTTGACTTTCACAACAGACAAGTAACTTTGCGCGATTTGCAGACGGATCTATCCATTTCTGGGCCACTAATCCAAACAGAACTTCGGCTTGATTACATCATCAACGCATACACTTAAGAGCAGCAACCATCTCATGCCAAATACAAACAGGCCAAGTGGGTCGATGTACCAAGAACTAGCCCGATCATTCAGAAAGTTTTCAGGTAATAGATAGAGGTCTTGGAATATTCACAAATTCGATCTATTCCTATCGGGTCTAATCACTGGTGAAGGATTTTTCATCTTGGAAATAATTGAAATGGAAAGGTCAGAATCTCAGAGGGACTGAAAAAATGAGCTGCAAGGAGAGTGATAGAGGGTAAAATATCTATTCTCTGTACCGAAGCAGAGCTTTTTCCATGAGTGTAAACGATATGTATTGATCGACTCACTCATTCTGCGACTTTCCGGTATTTTAACTTTATGTCTTTTGTACGGCCGTCTAGAAGATGTTTCATCTTTGAAAAAGTCCTGAAAAATTAAGGACTCACTTTTCCAGTGTCCCGGCAGCTCTCTCACGTTGTCGTTTGTTCTTGAACCAGTTGGAGACTTGCGTGACGGTGAGTTCCGTCTGTGCTGCTAGCCGTTTCTTATCTTCCACTGACGGGTACGCTTGTTTTTTATAGGCGTCTCGTAATACATTTCGGGATTTGGACTGGAATAAAGAGAAGTTCGTCGAAAGTCATTTGTCAACAAAAAATATTCCTCACCACGAAGATGCTTAGTACCTACTTATTGGTTTGTAATCGTAATCCATGTTTTAGATATTATGTGCCGATAGAGTTAAAAACGAGAGAAATTTGAGAAGATGAAAAGAATGGAATTATAAAGAGGGATAGCAAAAATAAAAGTTTTCGCGCCATGGTGTTTAGGATAATGACCGAAATGAAAAATAGAACGAAGAGAAAGAAAAGAGAGCAGAGACAAATCGCGCAAAAGTGGATGAAAAAGGAAACGAATGAAAGACGACAGCCGTGTGAACGGGAGAAGAATGCTAGGAAAATGGTAAAACTCACAATAGAATGACAAGGACTGGATTAGCCTACAAAATTAAAAACTTCAAGCCTTTCAAAACTAGGAGTTTCAGCGATTTCAGATAAAACTCATGATTTCTGTATAAATGACAGTATGGTAGAAATAAAAGCAAAGAATCAGTTGAGGGATATAAATAAAAACAGCGCTAAATTTTCACTTTCATTTGGAGAGAACAAAGTTGCTCAAGGCGAAAAACTACCGAAAGAATACGGAATACCTTGAAGCAGTAGTTTGTCTCTTCACCGTCCCAAATTGTCGCTGGAAATGGGTTCTTCTTGCGGATTCTATATTTACAAACAGCTCCCAATTCCCTTTCCTTGGTTTTTTCTGCCTAAATTCATTCAGTATTTGAGAGACATTTTTGCAGTTCCTTTTATTTCAATTACGCCATAAAGCTAGAGCTATAGAGGGACCTCATTTAACCTGATCTCATTGTTGGGTGATTTAGAACAAGTTCTGATTCACAAAAGTTGTATTATTGAAGTTCGGCACCGCATTGATGGAAAATTAGCAATAAGTCGAAAAGAAAAGCGTTATTTATTTAATCACGAGAGTGATATTCCAAAAAGAAAAATGTTGCTCGCTTTTCCATTTATTTATTTGTATGAGCCTAGATCACCAATTTTGCGGGTTCTAGCATTTTTCCCATTCGGGCCGTTTTTTTGCACTTGTCATCCACGAAGGTTTTTCTGGTCTATGTGTGAGTTCGGCTGCCAATTGAAGATTTTGTATTTTTCATGTATGTCGTTGACTGCATATTGGGTTGATTCTTCTTGGAATCCTCAGAACAGCTAAACTAGGGCGGTGCCAGGCCTTCAACCTGGCTAGTTGTCTGCTTCTGTCGATCGGGGAGACCAATTCCGAGAGAGTTCTGTTACCAATTTGCCGACCTTGGATAAATGAGAGGCTTTGTTAGCTCGAACCGTTGACACTGATCAAGCCATGGTGAGGGCATCACTAATGAAATCAACGGTGAAAGAATAATGTTGAAGATATTTTCTTTAAAAGAATAGGTTATTAAATAAGATTACCAATTTTATAAAAAATTATGTTGTTCTGCTAAAAAGAAAAGAATGGAATGGAGTTAATAATATCCGGAAAAGAATTTCGAGAAGCTCCAGCCACATTGGCATTCGTTAGGGAAGAGCAACGCCAGGAACTCGTAGGAGTGCGTTAAACTATGGTGAAATAGATTTATATTGAAGGAGATCGAAACTTCTAAGAAATAAGTGGCAAAAATCCATCAGTCAGTGGCTCACAGGGCTTGAGGTCTTTTTTCTTCTACACAATTTGGTGAAATTAACGATTCTAGTCGAACTTCTGAATATTCGAAAATAGTCGAATATTGTTGACAAATAAGGTGAGCTTTTTATGGCTTATGAGACCAAAATATGAAGGGCAAACCATTTGGCCTTGATTATTTCGTGGCAGAATGACGGAACGTCTGGTTTTACCGTACATGGAGCCGAACCAACAACACCTATTATTGTATTGCACCTTTAATCACTGCGCTACACATCCCTGATGGGATGTTATTCACAGTAAATCATTGCAGATGGGAGCTGAAGATTAACCGCACGCCTTAAGTAATCTGCATGACCCAGCTTTAATCATAGATCAATCCAAATGGCACGTTCTTTCCCAGCACGACAACAAACAACAAGCAGTCTTTTTGTCATAATTGAGTATGTACTGGCTATCGTATCCGGAAAGATCAACGGGTACTTTTCTTCTCCGATTGTCACCTGTTCTTCGTATCATAATCTCCTGCGTTTGCCGACGGAACATTGCCAGAAATATGCCAGAGAGCAATAAAAACCTAATCGAATATCGTTTTTACAAAGGTTTTTTTTAAAGAAAACTTTTGAAACTTTTCGGACTACTCATAACCTTTTTCAAGGTTTTCTAACCATTTATTTCCCGATGCTGGCTTGATTAGTAAAAATAGGACCCTGATTATGACGGGTCTTTTTTTAAATGGATTCTTTATGATAAACCTAGTAATAAGGGAGGTTATCACTTAGAAGATAAATACAAAAGCGATGGTGAACTTGTAAAAGATGACTTAAACCAAAGAAAATATTCTCAAACCTCAGTGTAATGTGCTCGTAACCACAAATCTTGCAGCACTGGATGATTGTGTGGACTGAATTTATGCGTTTCGAGTAATCTGCATAATGATCGACATTACAGTACGCCACATTAAACCGTATATGTGACCTACCGATATAGTTGTTTCCATTGTTGTTGGCTGAACAGAACTAAAGCGTGCGCTTTAAGGGCGCTTTCGTGACATTTTAAATGATCCGGTAGGGTCCATAGAAAATGGGTCTGAAACATTTTTGTTCAAAAGCATTTCATAGAGTAATTAAAACCTTTAAGAATTTTGAATTTTGCTTTAAATCATGAACATATGCGCTAAATTTTTTTTTACGACTGTTAGCTTTTACTTAACCTTCAGGGTTTAGTTATCATATTAACACTCACATGTTAGCAATGAAATTGTTCCTCATTGTTTTTTAAGAATGGTTTGCTATCTCTATCGATTTTCGAGAGAATTCTTCCAATTCTTTTCGTTCTCTCAAAGCCTGCGATTCGATAACAGACAAGAGGAGGCGGGCTGGTTACGGTAACGTCAAAAATTTCTAACTGGAGTTTTATGTTTTTTGAGAGCATAACAGTAACAAAGTCAATAATTCCTTTAGAAAAACAGTCTTAGATGTTTTCCTCATAAAACACCCGCCAGAACTGGAAAAGATAAAGGACAATAGTTAAAATTGAAACTATGATTGGGTGCAGAAATAGGCATTGAATAAGCCACCAACATGGAGAAAGTAACAAGCAGCGTTTTATAGAAAAATGATTGCGTGCTTATAGAGCAAAAAGAAAGCCAGCTTAATTATTTAGAACGACACTCACTGCCTAGTCATAAACTTTCATCTGCTGAACTCTTTTATAGTTCGCATATCTTCATCTTTCAATCCTTCGCTTCTTTAAGAAAAGGATCAAAAACTGCAAAAAAAAATACGATGACAAGGTGTGGCTAAAATTGAGAAAAACTGAGAAACCAAGAAATTTGAGCTAAACTCGAGTCAATTATCGAGTTTTGTCTTTACGACCCCAACACGCATCTTCGCCGAAGGCCTTCGTCGTTGAAGTAGTCTGTCCGCCTGGTCGTCCTCCTCGTTCGTCCGTTGGTTCGTTAGTCTGTCGGTCCGTCCATGCGTTCGTCCGCACGTCCGTCCGTCCATCATCGTCTTCAAGACAAACGCAGCGACAATCGCTGTTGTGTCGGCGGAGGCCGCGGCTGCGGCGGCGAGTAGTACAGTAGTCGGCCGGCGAACGACAGCCGCCACAAGCTGGCCGGCTGTCATGTTTGTCACTCAAACGGCGACAACTTTAAAATGACAAGACTAATACTGATCGATCATCGACTGGTAAATAACTCAAATCCGAACGTTTTCTGACTTTTTCCCGTCATATTTGGCCATGTAAGGAACAGCTGAAGACTTCCTCTAATGCCCAGGTTCCGAAACAAGCCGTTCATCGGCTTTCTGGATGTTTGTTAGAGTTTGTAGGCCTTACCTTCAACAGGTTCATTCCTAAAATGGGAGCGGGGTGCAACCGTAACCAGCTTTATAAGAGATGAACAGAGCAAAGGTCTTTAGTTCTCTTTCGTCTTTAGCATGCAACAATAATATTTCGCGCTAAATATTTCTAGCTTCTCCACCTAATAACGTTTTTTCTCAGAAACACGTTTTTTTGATAACTCAATTGTTCTAAGACTGAAAGATCTTCCTTTTCCGAAAATTATATTTACTCTTCCGATAATTAATCTTAGGCTTTAGTCTTAATTGACTTTGGGTAGATACAATAAGTCTAATAAACAAATATATTCCTATAAAAAATTGCAAAAAGGCTAGCAAACTACCAATTGTTCAGTACGTCCTGTTTGCAGGCCTTCATTGAAAAGCGACTCGCAAATGCACGACACTTCTTGCTCGGAATAGGAGGTGGTGGCACTGAAACCACCAAAAGGTAAGTTTCATTTTTTGAAAAATAGAGACTTTTTATCCTTTTAGGAGCTTGTAGCTGGATCAGTGTAAGGCTACAAATGCTACATTTATAGAATATAAAACTGAAACTGAAAAGAAGAACTGAAAACCATATGGAATATACTTTTTGCTGGCAAGTAGAATGCAGATTCAAGTATAGCACTTCAAATCCTAAAGGATTCTGTAAATAATTAGGAAGAACTATTATTTCTGTGGTGGAAAATATTTCGCTGAAATTAAAGACCAAGATACGGCCGCGATTTTCCTTGCTGGCGGTGGATGGCTACCGTAATTTGCCACCAATGCTTCCAACATAGGTTGATCAACGCTCGTGAATCGGAGCCAAAGCATGGTGAGCCCGATTTATTCGATGGCGCTGACCAGATAGATGAGAGATTTTGAGGAAAAGCGGTAAAGAACGAAGTTTCCTGTTTCAAATTTAGGTGTCGACTGAACGTTGACAGAAACACTCGACAAGAAGCAACGTGCATCGCACAGGTTGCTGCTCAGATATCGTAGGGCGTATCGGTAACCTGATCCATAAGTTGCGAATAAGGCCGTGAAGAGAGACTGGAGATGAGAGAACTTGAAAAGCGATATTCCTTACGGGATTGTGTGAATTCGAGCCGATCCAGCCGCCGTCGCGTACGCTTGCATCGTCCAGCTCTGGCCAGCATCTCAGGTTACGCCCCTAGTAAGCCCCGCGACCGCCGGCGCTATGGCGTCGCACTCACGTCGACATCAGGTCAGCGTAAAATCGTAAGCTAACGACTCTAGCTAAATTAACAACCTTCCTTAAACGGAAAATTACTGAACTTTACAGATCCGCGGCCAATTGCTGAGCTCACAAAAAAAGTCCGCTACCGATGCTTTGAAATTGAAGCCGCCAAGTGTTCAATTACAATTCTTCGGTTCTGATTTTTTTCCTGTAAGGTGAAGAAAAAATCATTGCGAGCTTACAGGTGGGCAACATTCTCGAAAAGTGAGTCGTGAGAGGCGGTGGCGGCTAGTTGAAAACCGAAACCAATAGCAGGATTTCTAAAGCGCCGAATAATCTACACTGCCATCGAATAGCTTTCTAAGGAAAGTTTCAAACATCTTTACAGCACTCATCCAAAACAGCAAAATTTTTCTATCAAAAAACAAGATTTTTTTAAGCTAATGATTTAGTATATCTGAGGAAAGCTCTAAAATATTATATGTTATTTGTTCACAAACACCTTTACCAAATAACTGAGAAGGACGTTCCCATGCCCATTTGAGCTTAAGGACAAGAATAGTGTCGTGAAGTTCACGGTAGGCAACTTAGGAATGATTAAAGTAATTCAGAAAGGGCTTCGACTAAATTTGAGCTTTTTCGCTGGCTTTAAAAAATAGAGTTTTTTCACTCTTGTTAATAGTGTGCTCAAATTCCATGGAGCATGTCAAATCTTTTTGCTAACAAATGAGAAGCGGCTGAAGTTAGGAGAGGGCTAGGGAGATGCACACACGTCTGAGAATGAAAATTCTTAGGAGAAAATTCCGTAAACAACAGCAGAAAGAAATAGTTCTTTGAGGCATTTAAGTAAAAGTTTTTTTTTAAATGCTTCACAAATGGTCAGGCATTTCTTCCTCATCAAAACAGAGAGAAAAAATCGATTGAAACTCTTACAGAGAACAAGGAAATAAATATTAATGCTGGTTTCCCGTCTCTTCATACTGAGTTGCTCGCATCTGGCAGAGATCCGTCGAGCAAAATGCTCATCGAAGCTCATATATCAAGGTTTTTCATTGTTTCCAGTAGTATGAATTATACAATTTTAGTTACCCGAAACAGATCAGGGGCTTCCGATTTATTGATCACTCATTTCTCTTAATGGGTCTTTGCTTTGCACCTTTTAAGCTCCTACATAGAGACAGCTGGTAATGCAATATGGAACATACATCCTTAGTGCAAACATAAAGCAGATGTAAGTCAGATGGACGTATCAGGTAACCGCCATCATGTGTGTTTGTGTATGTAACTCCCTCGAACACGATGAAGTCAACCAAAAACTCCAAAAAACTAGAATCACAGAGATAAACAAGGCGACAACCAGTGGACTACCGTGATGGGAACGTAGGGCCACTGCCATACTGTAGTGCAGCCACCAGATAATCGTGGCAGGATCACATAATCGTTAGCATACTATCGACCATGTCTTACATTTCCTCCATTACATTCATCTAGAAAAAATGACGATGATTCATATGAAGAGTGATAGGATCTGCAAAGTACTGGAAATTAAATGGTCGCATAGGCGAATATTTGAAAGTTGGGATAAACTCGGTGTGTTTTAGTTAGGCCTAGAATAGTTTACATCATAAACTATGTCGTGCCGGACAGGTCCACTGCACCTGTGCGTAGTTTCGATAAACATTTGTCAAAGCCAAGAGTACTGATTGATATCGACTCTGATGCTTTCAATACACATGTATTGATATGGAGGCATATAAGCTAATGCACATACATACATACATACATACATACATACATACATACATACATACATACATACATACATACACACACATACACACATACATACATACATACATGCACACATACATACATACATACATACATACATACATACCACACATACACACATACATACATACATACATACATACATACATACATACATACATACATACATACATACATACATACATACATACATACATACACACATACATACACACACATACACACACACATACAAACACCATTTCCACCCTCTCTACATGTACACGGATGAAATATGCGTACAAACATATACACATTTATAGACGTATACATATGTACACATTCTTACACCCCGACACACAACTTACAGTTTAATTTGTGATTAAGCATTAATAATTGAATAACAACATGGTTAGCGTTTGAGATATTCCTTCAGTATTTCATAATAAAACAACTGGAAATCAGGGGTTAATGACGATTTCTGGATGACTGGGGAGGCAAAATTCATTAACACAACCAGAAGAGCTGAACACTGTTAAGAAATTGCAAGTTGAAATCGGTGGCCACCTTGATCCCAGGTCTCCCAGAGCAACTTCATAGGCATCAACCTAGTTTGGAACCCTTCTTTGAACATGATCACCTATCCTACTGTGTTTCAAATAGTTTCTAAACGACATTCGTAACTTTCATTTAAAATTTTTTTTTAGTAAATAAAAATTTGTTGTACATATGCTAATAAAGTGCCCCTCAACCTCGTGCAGGCTGAAGAGCAGTGAAAACCTTTGTTGGGATTTCTCGAGAGAAGAGATTCTTTAAAATATTCACTATTCGTTGACAACTGGCATGTAGAACTTGGTGTAGAAATTCTAGGATTTTCAATTTACCAACATTTCAGAGAAAACAGGAGTCAAATGTAACTATAATCTAGCCTAGAAAAGTTCATTCAGAGACAGTTCGGCTGTGGTTGCTTCTTTAAAATTAATTAAGAAACGTTTTTTCAGCACCTCTACAATAATTTTACCAAATTTCTTAAAAACACATTAGATTTATTAAGAATAACTCAGATGTTAGAACTTTCCTTGGGCAACGCGGTTTTTTAAATGAACCATGATTTTTTGAAAAAGACCGCCTTAGCAAAAATTGAGGGAAAAAGAGACTTCGATGACTCCGCTTTGCCTCAAACGAGTGCTCCATTGTCTCTCCAACTTCAAAGGACACACTAGACAGGAGTCCTGCTCCACACGTGTGTACCGGCGTGGGACCTACACGATAATTCCGTCTACTTATTGCTTGTCATCTGGTCTTTGTGGTGAGAAGAAAGCGTGGACCGGCAAGAAACGACCGCTCGTCCACTACGACCGGGCACCGTAGACGAGTCGAGCGGAAACTACAAAAGAAACGGAGGCTGAGTGGTATCAATTTCTACCGCTCGTCGTCGTAGTGCGGGAACAGCAGCCACCACCGTCTGTATTTAGCGCTTCGAACCAGTTGAGGGACCACAAAAATCAGTACTCTGTGTCTCCAGACCCCGTAGACGCAATGCAGACGGTGTTTTCGTTTAGTGGCGATACTCTTCGGGTATACGGTACCCCACTTTCCTACGGATCGAATTTCACTCTATTGCGCAGCACTGCTCCTCCCAGCCACCATCGCATCGATTCGCCTCCCTTACTAGAGTTGTGCATTGAAGTGTTTGTCGAAGACGTCATAATCGAAAACGATTGAAATAGCCAAACAACTGGTAAGGGATTTTTTGTGGCTCAGTGATATTTCGAGAAGCATTCATCCAAGAAGATTGTTTAGCGTGCGAGTTTTAAGTGGATATGAAAAGTTCTAGATTTCATTCAAACCTATGAGAACATTATCAGCAGGTTTTTTGGCCTGGCTTGAAGTTTTGATACAAACTTGGAGACCGAAAGTTTTCAAAGGTGCATTAAAAATGGCTGAGAAAAACTTAATGCGTCAAATTGTTTGTTAGGAGGGACCGTTCACTTCCTTATTGACTAGATTCGGCTAATTCTTGTAGTTATTCAGTAGGCCTTATCTTTATTCGAAATAAATATTTGGACTTCTGTGTCCAAAATCATTTTTGTTTGCAATTTTATCAATTTTCACTAATGTGGATTTTAACGAGAAAGTTAGAAAAAATGAACTAGTGGGGCTAAAGTTGAGCGTCTGGCGAAGAAAGAGATTACGTCACCACTCCAAGGTGACATGAGGACGAACTCTCTGTTGAATAGGAAGTGTAATGACTCTTGATGATGTTCAGTAGATTACCACTTGTCGTTATCGTTAAATATTTTTATTATCGATTCCTTATAGATAAGAATTGAATAGAATGAACTGAAACGAAACTTAGAAAATAAAAACACTATATTCATGCTGAATATGGGCGTGATATGGGACGGTAATACGGCCGAGAATTCATACGGTAAAGAAGCCTGATAAAGACTAAGGGATAAATGATAGCTCGTCAAGAGCTGAAAACCTTTGAAAGATATATGATGTATCAGACTCCATTCGTAGCATCGTAGAGGTGATTGAAGTCATATTTGCCTGTACAGTGATTTGTGAGCTTTTAGTGATGTCCTATCTGTGTGTTCATACCTCCAAACAATTCTGGTACCGATTTACCAATCCAAGAAAACTGTAAAGCTTGGTGAGGCCGACGCGTGGGATCGAATTAGTGACCGATCCAGTGTGTATGTACTTTAGGGCACCACTAATCATTGCTATACTTGTGACCTGAGAAATCCGACACGATGTTTAAAAAAAATGGAAACAACAACGTAAAAATAGCTAGCTGCATTTTCTTAAGCGGTTCTCATTGGTCGTTCGCTTTGTTTACCTCATATAAAGACATTGCCGCATTCGTTACATTGACGTTGACGTCGCATTTTCTCGCAATCTTAAAATTATATTTCCTTTTTCACCGATTGGTTAACACAAAATTGAGTTTATTTAAAAGGTCCACAGAAATTTTTTCAGGGTTAGGAGGCGTGCAATGCTCCTAGGAAGGGATTTGTCTAAGGGAGACGAGGTATGGCGGACAGCAGTGCTTCGTCCTTCTTGTGGACGACGACTTTGAGAACGAATTCGATTTCTTCTGAACAATAAAGAACAAACTAAGAATATTGTTGTTATAGGTTCTCTTAATGGTTCATCGCATGGTCATGGGCAATACGAAAGGAAGGTATTACTGTTCCGAACAATTCCAGTATCTTCGTGAAGTTCAATAAATTTGGTGAACTATTCATCAAGTTTCCTTCGAATATTGGACTGTTTTATTCTTAAGATTCTGCCTCACCATTCCCCGTATAATGGTCACTTGAGGACTATCATGAGCGCTTCGTTAACCTCGACGTGTTGACACTACTGTGCAGTTCTGCCTATTGGCCAATAATCTCTGTAAACTACCATCGAATGTCAACTTCAGTTAGGTGATTTGGTTGACATGACACGTTAACATTCCATAGGCATACCAAATTACGAGGCTGACACTCACGTAAGCTTTCTGCTGTTTTTTGCCCGACACCGTAGATCGAGACCACATCAATTTCATTTCTTCATTTCCATCTAAGTATCTAGATTCGCATGTTACATTTCAGACCATCTTTATTTCGGCTAGTCGCGCTGTGTCTGTATTTGCATTTGGTTACCAGTTAAAAACTTTTTTTTTCATACATTTCATTGAATGCCCGTGGAGTTGATTCTCTTTGGCACCCTGGTCTCTGTATCTATAACAGCGCTTCCTCACCTCAACTAAAAGCAGTCTTTGACATTTTTGGATTGAAGAGAACTTTTCACAAACGGTTTTAATAAGAATTTGTCCACACCACAAGTAATAGAGGTTTGGCAGAACCATGCCAGGGTCGAAGTACCGACAATGCACACATTACCACAAGAAAGGTCTAACCACTGCAGTTCTCAGGCCGCAAAGCATTATTTACGACAAGGTCATCCTCTTCAGAACTTTCTTGATCACGTAGACAAAGTTTGGTGGCGGTTGCTTTACCTTCAATCTCTCGGCCTCGGCGATTCTTCCTTCCTTTCACGAGAGCCGACGAGTTATGATGAAGACATTGTAATGCCTTAAGCGATCATGTCAATGCTCAAAGAGGAAGCAAACTCAAAAAACATTCAGTATCTAAATGAGTAGAGGCGACAACAAAGTCTTAACCTATAATGACTCAGCGTCTCTTTGCCAGAGCAGTCCAACCGAAAGCGAGCAATTTTCCGGCCGCTGTAAACTTTCTGATTTTTGACTGTAAATAACATTTTCTCAATAACTAAAGTGCTTTATGGACAACTTTTATCTGCTGCTCCTTTTTTTTTCACGGTCAGGTGTAATTTGAAATACAACCACAACGATGCCGAGATATTTACGATCCTAGGTCAAATCGAACCGCGGTTCCACTTTCCGGGGACTCACGTGTTACTAACGGCACCACTGAGGGTGCTCTTCTACCTTTCTGTTTTTTGCCCTAACGGTGTCAATCACCAGTCACTTGTCAACAGGAATGATTTGGGAACTACAAATTAAACCCAGTCAGACTGAAGGTTCAGTTGAAATCACAGTGTATAACTTTTACCCGCTGCGCTTTATTTTCACGGCAGAGTATTATGCGAAATAAAACCACAATGATTTTCGTTGTGATTAAAGTGCCTAAGTTATGCCACATAATCTACTAGACTGAATATGGACCCCATAGTGTCCATTCGGCCTTGTGATCCTAACCTCTATGGGAGGTATGGTGCCCATACGTGCGGAGCGTTATGGGTTAAGCCACAACTGAACTCAGACGAATGTGTTCCATCCGTGAATGACCACTGCAGAACATGAAGACCAGCTGCAGAATCGTAAAAACATTGCTGGTCATAAAATGTAGGACTAGTTATTTAATTAGACGCAAATTATGACCTTGTGATCAGGACCATAGTGAATTTGTAGCTCTCAAAGTAGTCGTAAGTGACCATCTCGAGCAAGACATTGTGAGTTGCTGATATTCTTGTGTTGTTGGTCCATAATGTCTTCTATATCCTTTACGGGCAAGAGTTTTTATGTTCTTCGGAATAAAATCAACAAACTGGTGTAACAAATATGATCTCTTTACCAGGAACTTTCTGAAAAGTGCAGAGAAATGATTTTTTCTACAATGCGGTCAACAGTGGAGCGATACAACATAAAGCAATCTAAATCAACATCAAAATAATTATATACATTGTATATATATATATATGTGTATACACGTATATGCGTATATATAAGCGTGTATACGTATATATATATATATGTTTATATATATATATATACGGTTGAGTATTACTGTTTTTGTGCAAGTTTTACAAATCAATAAAGCCAATCTAAATCACAGATACTGTAAGAGCAAATAAAGACGCCGTTAGTACAAATCGACTGCACACAATGTGATTAAATCGACGAGAAAATGTAGGATAACAATGTTATTTCTTTTGAAGCTTCTAGGGAGAAAAAGTGGTCCTTGAGCATTTAAAATCCAAACAATATCGCGTTATCTATCTATAATAAAATATTTAAATTAGAATAAAGAGAGCATAGGAGCTACAGTACAGCAAAGCTCTTTCCAATCATTGGCGAAAACATAAAGTGTTAACTTATCAGAATGATCTTGTCGGACTTCTAGTCAATTCAGAGTAGTCGATTTGTCGTCACATTAAGGTGCACGTCGCGTTTTCGTGGTAGGACCGTGCTTCCCATCTCAAGATGGGACGTTAACAGTCACGGCACCATGTTTCATTCAATTTTTTTCTTTCTGCATAAATAATAGAATACTCAAGACATCTGAATCTGTAACACTTTCTCCTCAACAAGTTTGATGATGTTTTGATTGGCGTCAGCACGTTTTGGAGATTCTGATGAGTTTTTCGTGTTCGTCACGACGTCCTCTTCGATAGATTTTGATGTCGGCTTAGCATCAATGGATTCAAAAGCGACTTCGGAATTCGTGGAGTGCTCCAGTTTTGGCTCCGCCCCAGGTGTGGCTGTTTTTGTTTCGTTCGAAGCTTTTCGTTTTTGTTGTCGTTCTTTTCGTTCGAGTTGCTCCACTCTGTTCACCAATTTTCGCAATAACCTTTTGATCTCGTACTTATCGGCGGAACGACTCTGTAATGATAAAGGATAAAAGTAGTTGGATCTTTTGGTTGTATTTAGCAATGTCAAACATAGAATTGCAATTTTAAAGTAGGACGCTTCATGAAAAACCGAACTTTTCTTGACCTCCAACCTTGAAAATAACAAAGATGATAAAAAACAAAAAATGATACCAGCATAACAACTGCCTCCTTTCAACGGTTTACCACCTCATCGCGGGAGAGTGTTCGTGGTTGTTGGGCTGCGATGTACAGCAGAGAGATTAATCTCCCCGGTAGGGTCTCCCTAGCTGAGAAGAAGTCCGGCGTTTCCACAGGAAGCCTAGCTAAGCGTAAACCAGTACTGGGATCCACCATCGTCCTGGTATCAAATTAGTCGCACGATGGCAAATCTCCCTCTGAACCACAAGGATGGCGCTTGCCTGTGGTGTTGACGACCTGGGGCAGACTTTGACCAGGCTGACTTCGAGGTTCCGGCGAAAGGCTACCACAATGGTTAAACCAGCAAAGCTCCAGTGGGTGGAGAATATGCTGAGGTCCGCACAACCAGCGAGGATGGACCTTCCAAGTATCCAATTAAACAGATATAACAACTGTCCTATGTTCCTTTTAAACGAAAAAACCGACCAATTTTGAGCAAAATTGTGGCCGCCAATTGAGAAGCTTTTCAAATTCGCTCGAGAAATGTCAAATTTAAGTTTATTAATTATCCGGAACTCCCGGAACTTGGCGCGGCAAATACTCATTTTTAATGGCTACGAAACTAGCTTGAGATAAGTGTAGAGGAAACCACAGGTACCCCAACGATAACACTAGCGACAATAAGGACCCGTTTATACTGCTCTTAATTTCAAATAAAGTAAGTGCTGCTATAAAACGCTTTTTGAGGAGGGCCGGTGTGGAGAATTCGGTAACGATAATTGAAATGCCACCGAGCAATCTAAAACGCCAGCTTGTTCACAGCCGCCTATACGACCGTCTATCTGCAACGCAAAATAATTTGATCCAATGGTAGAGACGGTGACTGCATGAATTCGGGTACAGTCTTCTGATCTCTTGTAAAGCGTGCGAGGACGAATACGTTGGCGAAACGGATAAGCTACTCTGCGTCCGTATAAAAGAACACCTAGTCGGCAAACGCAAACCAAATACCCCACAAGGCACGCATAGGACCCAGAGACATAACGGGGAGGACTTTGAAGTACGTGTCACGATCCTCGTACAAGAATCGAGAACACAAGTACGCAAAACTCTAGAGGCATTCTGGATTAATTTCAAGAATCCGAAGATGAACCGCAGAGAAGAATGCCTCATTATCACGCGTGATATTGGGCAGTATATAAGCCCGCTATTTTGATGAGATGGGCACAATACGATTCCGTGTGAACTCTGTGCGGCTGGTCTCCAGCTGACATATCTAGTGGAAGACTCATAGAAAGCGGTGAGTGTACAAAGACTCTGTGTTCAATGTGATTGCAATTTTGGTTCAGTATTTTCTCTGTTTGGTTATGGAGGTGTGAGGTCGTGTAGATTGTGGTCAACTTGACCTTTCCAGGCTCTGAGGAAGGCGAAATCCGCCGAAACGTCAGCTTGTACGTAAATAAAGGAATAAAATAACACTTCGTGTTTGCTAAACAAAAGTAGAAAAAATTTTTAATAACATTATAAATGAAGAAATTAGAAGAACTAAGAATGATATTTGCAGAGCGGTGCTGATTAGACCAGAAATTGAACTAATATGCAGCAAATGGTTATTTTAATTATTTTAGAATTATTAGAAATTATTACAAACAATTATTTTAGCCACTTTAAAATCTTTCTCGTTTCTCACATTCAGTCATATCCATTATTCTATGCGATGGAGCAGCGAAAAGCGTAGTGGTAGAAGTGATATCTAGTAAACATACGAACGCAGGTTTGATTCCACCCAGTGCAATCAAGCCTCCCATCTCTTTGGTGTCTGCAAATTGGCTCTGGACTTGACTGGAGAAAGCCCACTCCAATTAACAAAGGTTAGAATGGACCGTCCGTGGTGAAGATCTGGGAACGTTCTAGCACAGCTGTCTCACGGTTTTGCGCGGAAGGATTTGCTTGACCTATTACGAAAATGACAGAGTTCTCAAGTTTCAGACGAGCCTACACGTAAATACGAAAACTTTTGAGGACTAACGATGCGAGACAATGAACTGAATGGAAGAAATTCTAGAATCTGTATGAAATAGCTTCATATAAATGAAAAGAATGAATGAAATCACATTTGATAAGTCCTTGTGCTCCACTACTGCTTACAACGCTACTGTCACACGTCGAGATGGTAAACTAAGAGCCAAGGAAAAAAAGTCTAAAATGTATTTTAAGAGTAGAACCTTCCAGTAGGTAAAGTTCTTGCTTCTGCCACACTGAATATGATTAATACCAATAATATACAGTTGCGAACATAGATGTATGCGTCTCCCACTTACTAATTTCTAATTGGGACAGTTTCTGCTAACTTGTTAGACCGAGGAACTTTAATCGGCAGTGAAGAAAAAAGACACTGCCTTTTTATTGTTTATCGCACTTCCTCCTTCTGCATCATCTAACAGTCAAGTGGTTCTCTGTCACATTGCGAGTAGTGGTGTTCCCATCTGTTGAAATGCGGTGTACAACAAGAATTTATCCTATCAGCAAGGTTGCTCATGCTGGAAACGTACGCAAAATTTTTATCTGCAAGCCAACCCAATAATGAACCTGAACTACGGTGGAATCCAGTAAACCGAATATGGCCACTTGTAAGCCAGGAACACAAGTAGTAAAATTCATACAAGAACTGTGATGCTCTTCGTGTTCGTTGATTAATAGGAATCCACTAAACAGTGCTCTTCCGTGACAAGGGTTGATGATAATTTACCGGAGACCGCCCGACTTAGTCAATCACTAGCGGAATTACAGTCTTCATAAGTGATATCAATCTAGGAGATTGCAAAAAACACGACAAATGGTTAAGTCTCTGCCGTGAGTGCGCTCTTCGACACCCAGAAAGGTTTCCAAACTTCTCCAGATAAATCTGCAGATGATAAACTCAAGCTTTATCAAATGAGCTTCACGTTTTGCAGAATTTAAGCTTCTAGGTGAATTCTAACTGCAAAGCCAAAAATGGAAAGTTTAGAGCACATTTTCATGACTTCGACCAGTTATAACGTCGCATTCCTCAGATGTCACATGGCAATAAACTGTGGCTTCATTTCAGATAGAATCACCATCACTGAGAACGATTTTGTGCTTTTTCAGATAAAAGCCGTTCTGAGAGTAAATTGTTAATATTTTCCACATAAGGTGAGAAGTCTTCACGCAAACCCAAACAGAATTCTCATTCAAAAATGCTGCTATTTCACTTCAGCCGAGTTATCTTTGAAGCTGAACGGTCCCACACACCATGTATGCGTAAATACACACATAATTATATATATATAAATACTTAAATATAAAAGCATAAAAAAGATAAAGTCCTCGGCGTTGATCAATCTCTGAGAGATGTGCCATGCATTCTACATCATTAAGCATCGTTGGAGGTGATTGAATCTTTCTTGCATCTTTGGCCTTTACAATGACTCGCGGTAGCTTACCGATGTATCGAGCCGGTGCTTCTATCCCCCCAAACAAGTGTGCTACCAATTTGCCGACCCCGGAAGGATGGAAGGTTCGGTGAGCCATGGGCGCTAGGATCGGTCCCGTGGGTGTGTGGGAGGGCTCTCCCGACCAGGAACCCAGGGATGATCATCCCGACAAGCATTTCACAACATTCATGACGAAAAACAGGTTCCCCACAGAAGCAGCAGAATCCTCATGCAAAAAGTTCGAGGACCTTCGTGGATATTAGATGCGAGGAAAACGAATCGATTGCGAGACGTACTGGAATCTGTACAGTAGATGTGAAAGACGGATCGTGTAAATCATATATAAAAGAATAAAACTCTCGGCGTTGATCAATCTCTGAGGGATATGCCATGCATTCGACTTCATTAAGCATCGTATGGAGGTGATTGAATGCATATCTGGCCTTGACAATGACTCGCGATGGCCTACCGATGTATCGAGCCAGTGCTACTATCCTCCCAGGCAAGTCTGGCACCGGTTTGCCGACGCCGGAGGGATGGAAGGCTTGGTGAGCCATCTGCGCAGGAATTGATTTCCCGTGTGTGTCGCAGTGGCGCCTCCAACCACTGCGCTACATACACCCTCTGTAAATCATATATATATACATATATATATATATATAACACATATTACACATCCTTGCTGTTTGAACCCTGCTCTGCTGACCATAATTAAAGAAGCAATCCAATGTCTGAGTAGGGCATATGTTTGATTTTCTCATAGTTAAAATCTCCACACATAGCTTCGTCATTTTTTGAAAAATGAAATAAAAAAGAATAACTTATATAATGCTGAGATATTTGCAAAACTCCGGACCGCAGGTGTCCGCAGTGGGGAACGAACGCGCTATTGCCCTTTCCGGGGAGTAACGCTTTCACCATCACACCATGCTGGTCCTTCGTTTCGCTTGTCTCTTAGCTAGTTCTATTGATCACTTGCTATCAGCAATCACCCGTCAACGAGAGCCGGAGTTTTTGCAAATATCTCAGCATTATATAAGTTATACTTCGCAACGTTCCCTCACATTAAAAAAAAGAATAGGCAGTAAATAAAAAGGTTAAGATTGTGATTATAACTATAGCCTCAGCTTAACTGGTCTCAATGGCGATTTGGGCTCCCCAGATCAATCCCGTTGACGGGTGATTGCTGATGGCAAAAGATCGATAGAGCTAGCTGGGAGACACGCGAAACGAAAGACCCGCATGGTGTGGTGGTGAACGCGTTACTCCCCGGTAAGGACAATAGCGCTTTCCCATCGCACCTGCGACCTGCGACACCTGCGATCCGGAGTTTTGCATATATCTCAGCATTATAATAGTTATATTTCGCAAAAATACTTTGTCATTAAAAAGAATAAGCAGTATATAAATAAAAAGGTTAAGATTGTGATTATATGTACACATTTTTACTACTCAGGAACACCTCCCAGCCACGATGAGGCGGTAAACCATTGTAAGGACTGTCTTTAATAGCATAAATAAAATTGCTCATAAGTAGAAAATCATCAGATTAGAAAAAATACTGTGCAATATTTTGTAGAGAAAAACGAAAAAACGAATGAACAATGAGAAGAGCAAGAGAACTCGTCCACCTGTTTTTGATTTGTTGCGCCTTTTTTCGTCGAATCACCTCTGTTTGTGGAAGTTCTCGCACCTTTTCGTGTGTTCCTATGCTGCGTCGATTGTGCCGTTTGATCTCTCAAAGTGTTCTGAAAATATTTTCTGCAATCAGTAGAATGGCAGTTGTCCTTAAAAAAGTTAGTAGCTAAATCCCATTGTTCTATTGGGAATCAATCCACTGTACGGCGCAACCTTAACGGATTAATCAGGGCCGAAAGTGTTCTTTTTTATCCATGTGGAATAATAAGAGCAAGCAGAATACCAGCAATATTTCGGAAGAATGTTTAGAAAAAAATTGCAGTAGGCAGTGAGTTGAAATTTAACATTATGTGAATTACAACCACAACGATGCTGAGATATTCGCAAAACTTGGGCACCGGATCAGATTGAACCACGATTTTCCTTTTCGGAGACTCCCGCATTGCACACTTCGCAACGGAGGCCCATGCTCTGCGTTTCTCTCAGCAAGTTTTCTACCTAACGCTGCCTTCAGCGATCACCCGTCAAACCCACTTAAGCTGAGGCTGTAGTCGAAATCACAGTGCTAACCTTTTATTTTCTGCCTACCGTAATTTTTCACGGCAGGGTATGATGTGAATTACAACCACAACGATGCTGAGATGTTCGCAAAACTTGGACTCCGGCTGACGGATGGTTGCTGATGGCAGCGTTAGGTAGAAAACTAGCTGAGAGAAGCATAGCAAGGGTCTAGGTGACGTAGTGTGTAGTGCACAAGTCCTGGAAAAGGAATTAGTGGTTCGATCTGGGCCGGAGCGCAAGCGAATATCTCAGAATGGTTATAGTTGTAATTTATATAATGTTAGATTTTATTTACTGCCTACTACAATTTTTTCATCGCAAGGTGTTGTGTGAAATACAACCACAATGCTGCTGAGATATTTGCAAAGCTCTGGAACGCAGATGTCTGCGGTGAGGATCGATCACGCTATTACTCATTCTCGTAGCCAACGCGTTCACTACTACACTATGCTAGTCTTTCTTTTCGGCCTTTCTTTCAGCAAGTTTTCTAAGGCGTGCTCGATCACGACAGCAGACACCTGCTGTCAGGAGTCTTGCAACTATCTCAGCACCATTGTAGTTGCATTTCACATAATAACTGCATAGTTTGGAAGTAGTTCAAAGCAGGCCAACGAACAGGTCTCTGTTTTCGCGTGCGCAGCTTTCTTCTCCAAATACGACCAAATCTCAGAAGGGATGAATAAACGATAAATAGCTAATATTATGCTAACATAGTAAGCATTCACCTCGTTCTGCATTTTAACGTTCAACTTGAGCTCGCCGTTAGAAGTCGTCGTGACACGACGATTTTGCTGAGCACGAACACCACCATTGCCACGTCCACGTCGGCTGGACGAGTTTACCTCAAACGGCAGGCCGCTTACTCGTCCCTCCAGACGACTGCCTTTCGTCACCTAAAATTATTCGTATAGTGTGTCCTGTTTCCACTATTTTAATTTTTCACGCTCTTTCTTTTCTCCGCGGTTTTCCTGATTGATTATTGAGATCATTTGAAGAATTTGGATCCATTTATCAGGATGGCTTTACTGAATTGCTCCTCATTTGTCGATGACCTTTCCTCCTGTTGTTATCATGATCCCGTTGATTAGCGGAAGGAGTGTTAGTGAACGTGGGACTACAGCCTCTACGATAAGAGCTTATTCCAAAACAGTGGGCCTCTCACCCTAGAACAAAATTTGATACTTTTATTCAGAAGGCAACGATAAGAGCAAGCCGATACCAGGTATCACTGTTGTCATTAGCTGGTGACTACCTGACAAGTTCTGATGACCTGCGAAAATCTAAGCAGGGCTTTCGAAAGTCTAACGGAAGAAAACCTACCCCAACAAGTAAATCACCGGTTAAATGGAAATGGTGCTGGGCCCGTTTGGTTCTTCGAGCTTCGTGAAGAGGAGGATTACTTACTTACTTACTTGATACTTGAACTGTCCGCCCTCACTAGTCGTGCGGGCCCCAGCATAATCACCATTTTTCGGGTAATTGCTGGTTAAACCATTGTGCTTCCCTGGAATCCCGAGGACAGCCTGGCCAAAGTCTGTCCCAGGTCGCCACCACGACAAGCAGTCGCGGCCCTTGTGGATCAGAGGGAGACCTGTCGCCATGAGACTCTGATACCAGGAAAGTGGTGGATCCTGGTATTAGTTTACTCTTAGCTTCCTCATGGAAACGTCGGACTCCTTCTCAGCTTGGGAGACCCTGCCGGGAGGATGAATCCCTCCGCTGTACATCGCAGTCCAGCATTCAGGAACACCTCCCAGCCACGATGAGGCGGTAAACCGTTGAAAGGGAAGAGGGGGATTAAAGTGTATAAATATTAATGCGTCATTAATTGCTTCTCTAAAAACTTAATCACGTTGAAAAAGGTGACACAAGTATCAAGAACATAATCTCTTTTCAACGAAAATTTAACAGTTGTCAGAAATGACGATGAAAATCAATAATGATACAAAAAAACAGAGTAGGGTTGTGAGTGATGAACCTGTGGGGTGACGATGTTTTCGCTCGTACTACGAGATGTCGTTCGAGATTTCTGTCCACCACGTTGACCACGCTGAGCACCTCTTTGATGACTACCTCCTCGTCCTGGTGGTTTTCGTCGGACCTCCATGGATGGCACATTCTCACGCCATGTTTCTGCACTGAAATTTGCGTTGGGAAAATTCATGATTTTCATTTTTCTGGGCGCATGTAGAATAGTGGTTAGGGATTCTCTCCCATATATAGGTAGTCATTGGTTCGATCCTACGCTCTCAATCAACCAACCCTCCGTCACAATGGGGTTGGCTAATTAGTACCAGTATGGTGAAAACATAGAGCTGATTTACTTAGTAGTTCGTGAAACTCTTGATCTGATTTATCGCTAGGCTCTTGTAAGCCAGGTTTGGCGCACTCGTAAGGAATTAATTGGATCAGAATAATTCTTTCTTCATCCTACTTACGGATAATTATATGTTCAATGTTTCACTCACTCCCAAATATTATTACGAATGAAAACATGGATAGCAAAATTAGCAAAACAATATTTCAATAATGATGTCGATTGAACGATTCCACAGGTGGTGAGATCATAGTGAAGTGTTTTCAAGTCTAAGGAGTAGGTCTCTGTAAGCCTTTCTTTGTAATTGGTTCATTATCGCCAATGCACATATTCAGGAGGAGGACTAGGGGAAAGGACAATGAAAAATCGATGTACTCGCTCGGAACCGCTGGTGGTTTCGAAATATGAGCCGGCTGCATCGGGAAACATCTGGTTGATTTATCGTTTGCTGGTATGTGAATGGATGATTGTTCAGAGTCTCTGACCACAATAAACCTCATGTCAACTTTAAAGGAAGCCGATAACTGATCGGCAAATACCCACAGTCTACAAGGTAGGACCTGCGAAACATGCCATGGGTACTGCTGCATCAAAAACGGTAAAAAAAAGGGAAATTGCTATGTTCACGAAACCCCTTGAGCGAGCGGAAACCACTGTGTGGTTTTGAAATACGGCATTCACAAATGGAAACTTTAATGTTGCCCATTAATGTTACAGAATGATTAGCGAGGCTAAGGAGTGCAATAGGTGATACGAGTGACACGTGCGACTGGACTAGAACTGGATGGATCAAAACCCCGATTCCGACTTCAAGCTTTTAATTCTTCCGTTTTTTCAACTCGTATGGTCGATAATCACAAAATGTGCAGATCTCAGCACTTTTTTCTTTAGACTCGTTGCCTTGCATCCATCATCCACGAAAATCATTGAATTGCGCGTAGTTCGGATGCCAAATAAGGACTTTCTCTTCCTCATGAATGTTGCGGATGCTGGTCGAACTGATTCATCCACGAATCATGAGATAACTCTAATAGGCCGTTCCTAGTTCTGTACTAAAGATATTCGTCAACTTTTGTAGATCGGAGGCAACTTTTTCCATATAAGGCTGGGGGCATCAATTGGCTCAGAGTAATAAGAGCTTGGTTGATGTAAGGGTTCGAAACCGCTAGGACGATTGTACTGCATAGTATTTCTAATCACTACGCTTCCTCTACCCATATGTTATTGGTTAAATTAAAATGTAATAACTAAAGAATGTGGTGGGTGGCACAGTGGTAGTGACGATGTTCATCACAAATACGGTAGTGGTTGGATCACTCACCGGGCTCGCTATGCCTGTTATCCTTTTTAGGTCGGGAAATTATATCGGACTATTGAACGGGAACAGTTAACGGCCTGCTTTGCAGGTGTGAACGCTGTATTACGTAGTCTAGGAGTCCAAGAAAAATCGAGTAAACCAGAATCCAAAGACATTCATGAAGAAGACAACAATCCTCAAGCAGTAGCCGAAGCCGCACGTGAAAAGACGGAAGACTTTTCTAGATGATGGATGCGAGAAAACGAATCGAGAAGTGGAAAGCGCTGGAACCCGCAAAATAGATGTGAGGACGGGTCATGTAATAAAATACAAAAGATAATATCCAAATAACGTACGACGCTGTAGAATAGAGGGATACACCGTCGATAAGGAAAGTGATCGAGGAAGGAAGAAGTACTTGATCTTAGTGAATAAAACTACATTTTATAATGCAATGAATAAAAAGGCAGTGTTGAAAAAAGCCCAGAAGGCATCGTAAATGGATTTGAAACTGCTTACGGCGTTTTACCCTTGTCCCATTCTCGATCCCACTCTCCTTTCGTTGTTTTCGTTGTAACTGATGCAATTGGAGAAGACTAAAATGTACTCCATGATTTCTAGTAGAGTAAAAACTTCTTTGTAAGTAACTCGATTTCCCCAAAATTGCCGTCTAAGACCATGTGCATCGATTCGAATTCATAAATGGCCTTAAATAATTCATACACACAACTTTAAGCAAATATGTCCCAGATAATAGTAGCGTTTATCCAACGGAATAAGTCAGCGCGATTTTACATAGGCACGATAATATCCCCAAAGGGATCGTTAGGGTGTTTAGCATCAAGAACATTGAGTTCGCCCCAATATTTCTCGAGAATCGGCGTTTAATAAAACTAAAAAAAAGTTTTCAGTTCATAAAACCGTACATGTTCTTAAAACGATAGCGTAAAACCTCTTCTCCAGGTCTACCACATCACAAGATTCTCAAACACCAGCGTTATGGAAAAATTATCAGCAGTTGTTGAAAATCAGCGTTGCCATGAGCATCGTCTTCATCTCACAAACTAGCCAATAACTTTAGAAAACAATGTATTTAGTCAAAACAAAAAACTACACCAACCTTTGATGGTTTTCTCAGTAGTTCATTAGAGTGGATAGCTAGCTCAGCGTCGATCTCCTAAAAATCCGTGTCTTTAACTAAAACCAATAGAAAAATCAAAAAAAGAGTATTACAGCAAGGCCTTAGAGCTCTAAACACTTTTGAATGTCCATCTAAGAAAACAGTGCTTTCTTACTACTAAGAACGGAAACTTACTTAAGAAAATGTTTTAGGCAATGCCATTGTGTCTTTCCCACGAATTCCCGAAAGCAAAGAAAGTGGAATAGGAATCATCTGATAACTTGCAAAAAAACTGTTTACAAGCAGTTTAGCGTTTTGTGTATTTTTTAAAAATTTACTTCATTCCTATTCAATACCGACGAATGTCGATAGATGGGGTTAAGCCGGCCAGCGGTTGACGTCGCCGCAATGGCCGCGGTCGGGCGCGTCTGCCTTCCCATTGTACGTTGTCATTAATAGAGTGAATCATACGAGTGATCGAGTGACAATTGTCGACAGAAAACGGCTACGATGACGACATCCCAGAAAAGTGCTAAAAACGAGAAGTTGTTCCTTTCCATATACAGTAGTGGTCAAAGGAAATCGTATTGAATCGGTATGATCCATAGAGGGCGACACTTTCCACAAAAAAAGTAGTGTAGGCAGCAGTGACTGGTGGAAATCCTGCACAATATGGTATGGTTCTTAAAGTGAGGCACTTTCGTATCAACGCAGCCAAATGGGTACACAATCGAAAACTAGTATCCACTGTTCAACAGCGCAGAACACCGCGAAGAGATGATCACCGGGCTCCTTCTGTCTTCCAGTGGATTCATATATGAGAAAGATAGTGCCATTAAAAAGACGTTTCACATTTGGAATGCCAGTGTTTAACCATCTTTTGCAATAGACGTATGGTTGATGAATCGATCCTGCACCCGGGTAAATCCAGCCCCTGGTAGAGGTCGGCAACGTGGAGCCACATCTCTCCTTTACTGCATTGTAAACGCCGATGATCCATTCAATCGCTTTCATATGGCCTATCGGAGTTTTATACATGCGGTAACCCTATGGGCTTGATCAGTGCTGAAGATTTTATCGTTTCATGGTCTATTAAATATTCATATATATAACCTGTTACATCGTTATTCATCGAGGACAACTGAATTCGGTGACATTAAGATTTTCATTCGTTCTCGTCACGAGCTTGAGCTACTCAAATGTGCTTATCATCTCGAAGGACACGAGCAGTGTCACGCTTTTGCATAAAGCCCTTTATTTTCACAGATCACGAAGAAGACAGCTACGGCCCTCTCGCTGGGTAAGACCATGGTAATGGGTTCTACATAGCGCAGCATCGATAAAGCCCTTGTTCTACTTCGAAAGCAGCGAGGTTGTAAAACACGGAGTTAACTATGCATAATGGCGAAAAAATGATGATGAAGCGTTCGGCATTGATCAATACCACAGAGAATCGCAACACATTAGATCCCATTCATACAAAGTTGTTCACAATATATTTGGTTTACACAATGATTTGTTGGGTCTATCGATGTATTTACTCAGCGATCTAATCCCTTCAGACAGTATTTGCACTAATTTGACGAACTTGAAAGGATGAAGGGTTGGATTCCACGTGGGGTACGGGTCGAACGAACAAGCACGTCCGCATTGCATAGTTCCTCTTACCTCTAACCTACTGCTATGTTACACCTTTCCTGTTCATGATAATAACCAATAAAAATAGATGATTTGTAAAGCTAAGCTAAAAGAACGAAGTTCTCGGCGTTTATCAATCCCTGAGGGATGCGCCATGCATTCGACTTCATTAAGTATCGTTGGAAGCAATTGAATGTATATCTAGCCCTTACAATGACTCGCGGTAGCCTATCGATGTATCGAGCCAGTGCTGCTGTCCTCACAGACAAGTCTGATACCAATTTTCCGACCTCGGAGGGATGGAAGGCTTGGTGGGCTGTGGGCGCTGGGATCGATTCCACGTGTGTGTAGCAGGGCGCCTCCGACCACTGCGCCACACGTGCTCTGATGATGATTCATATGAGGACTATTTTTGCGCTCAGAGAGTTGTTTTCACCTTTCAACCAACCTATTATGCAGTTGGGACCTGCCGTTGTATTGGTTCATACAGTGGGATTTGCTGGTAATTCTTAAGAACAACTACAACAACTTCTGCCGTTTCCTCTTCTTGTTCCACATTTCAGTGCACTGTCAATGCTTTTTATTCTATTAACGGCAAACTTCTGGTTATTTCAGAACAGCTCTATCCATCACCTTTCTCCTCTCCACGATCTTTTGGTTTTTTTCCCGTATTTGAGCGATTTTCCTGTCCAATTCTTCTTCCTCCTCTTTCGAATGTCGGCTCTCTCGTTCCATTATCGATCTGAAAATCATTATTTAAATTATGTAGATTAACACCAAGATCAGACATAATCATGGATTGTTCGACAAGTGACAACAAAGCAAACAAGAGTTAGAGTTTTATGGCTTTTTCTTTTTTAATAAAAACAATACGGACACGGGAAGTGCAGTATTTGGTGGAGATGCCGTGCAATGTGGGAATGGTTTCTGGTTCTACCCCGCCCCTAGGCAACTTAGGCTACCATTTTTCCTAGGCCTACAAATTGATAACAAATTTGGCTGGGAAAGCTCTCTTTAAACCATAAACGGAATGACTGCTTGTGATGAAGACCAGGAAGCGCTAGCCTCATTAAAACGTATAACCCTTAAGTGAAAGTCAAGCTGGCATTAAGATTCAAAAACCACCACGCTTGGCGGATGCGAAAGAACGAAGCGAAAGAAAGAACTGCTGTAATCCGTTTCATATGTTATGTCAGGTTATATAAAAGATGAATGATTAGCTAAAAACAATAAGGTCTTACATCAATTACTCTGTATACAAGTAATTTTCTTCGTATTTTTATTGAGCGAACGCGAGGTGTTACTATTCTTTGTTCACGATTAAGCTGACGTTTCGGCGGATTTCGCCTTCCTCAGAGCCGCTTTCTATGAGGTTTCCACTAAGTATGTCACGTAGAGACCAACCGCACAGAAATCACACGGAAGTATAATGTATACATACTATACTCTACTGTATACTCTGTATACAGTCCAATAAGTTATACCGTATACTGCCAGGTTATGTTGCATCTCTTCCACGAGTGAAAACAAGTTGATTAAAGGAAGAGAAAAGCGGTAAAGACATCAGTTATTAGCGCACAGCGATGCGTGACCCAGTCCGGAAGTAGAGAAAATGATAAACAACCGAAACCACATGACGTGGGTAGTGGTCATCCACAACGAAATCGGATTGAGTTCGAGATGAATGAAAACCGTGATGAAAAACAAGACGGTGAGCAGAGGCTTAGATTACAACGCAAATCGTCACAACATTACACCTCTTCAAACAGGACGAGCACTGCCCGCTCGGACGGATGAGAAATAGTGCAAAGAAAAAGATTACGGACAGAGGATGAAGTGTTCCAGCAACGATCAATCCGTTAGTGGCATGCCATGTATTCGATTCCATTCAGATCGCTATAGAAATGATTGAATGCATATTAGGTTTGCACAGTGACTTACGGTAACTTGTCAGTGTATCATGTCAGTGTTTTTATTTTCCCAGACAAATCTGGCACTAATCTGCCAACCCCACTAAGGATGCAACTCATAATGATTTTCGTTGGACGCCTCGGTATTGAACCAAAAACCACGAACATATGGCAGGCCACCCTCTAACCACTCCGTTACATGACGACGACAAGAAAAAAACACAAAACGAAGCATTTTTAACAACTAACTTCCAGCGGCTGGAAGGCTTGACGAAAACAGGAAGCTCAGCACTTTTTAGCAATTTTAAGGAGTTCACTTTGTAATTGCCAGCATTTCATTAAAATGGGACGAAACAGCACAGTAATTGGAACAACTAGGAGATTAAAATATGGAATTAAAAGTCTTCGATCGATAATCCAACCTAAAAAACGATTTCAATTCAAAGAATAAAACTCATTTAGAGCTTTTATTTGAGCATATTTTATATCTTACCTTCAATGAGATTACATTTATCAAAGCAACGATGAGTAATCTTTTTCTGACCGATGAAAATATTCTAAAACAACTAAAAGTAAAAATAAACAAATATGCAAAAATATGGACGGAAATTAAAGATCAGCCCCATATCATAATTGCTACCGCAGTCAACTACTGCTCTACTGCTAACTTGGATACTTGGATGGCAAGTCTTCACTGGCTGTACGTTCCCTAGCACAATTTCCATTCTCCGGAGATTCGCAGGGTTAGTTACTGTGGTTTTCTGGAGTCCCGAAGTTAGCGTGGACAAAGTCTGCCCCAGGTCGTCACCACCACAAATTGTCGCCGCCCTTATGGATTAGAGGGAGATTTGCCACTATGTGGCTAGTTTGGTACTGGTGGATGCTGGTATTGGTTTACTCTTAGCTGGGCTTTCTGATGGAAATGCCGGACTTCTCCTTAGCACGAGAGACCCTGCTGGTTGGATGAATATCCCCACTGTACATCGCAGCTCGACAACCAGGAACACCTCCCAGCCACGATGAGGTGGTAAATCGTTGGGAAAACTGCTCTATTAACTACTATAACATGAAATCATTGACTACAGTGACCACATCAACAAAATCGATATGACTAAAATTATTCACTGTCACTGGAAAGAATTATCAGGCCATACGCATCATTGAAAACTGTTCACTAACTTCATACACGCGTTCTTTCCTTAAATCTGACTTACAAAAAGGAAGTAGGAAACTGCCAAAGAGCTACAAAATAAAGAAAATATCTCAGCAAAAGGAGATTTATGAAGTCGGGATTCCTCATAAAGTAATCCTGTCCATGAAAACCTCCCTAGACCTGATTGTTTTGAGTCGGAAACGGTTATGATAGCTGTACAAACGAAAATGTAAACTGTCTGTATCTGTGTCAGTCCAATTGTAGTGATGTTCTGCATAAGGAGGAAAATCGTGCATAATTGAGCAGCTAGTCAAACCCAAATCACAAGTGTGACAATTCCAATCAATAAAAACGATCAATAGTCGCAAATCTTTACATGGTGTTAGTTGATTGAAAGATCTGTGCAGAGGTTGAAATAGTTGGTTGTTTTTAATAGCCAGAAGCAGACGTCTAGAGTAATTGACGAAATAGAATTTGTTAATTGTATGAAAAGAAGAGAATAAGACATAAAAGCAATAACAGTACTAAAAAGGAGTTAGCAGCGACAAATTATGCAAAGAGACTGCAGCTGTAAGCAGCGAACCATTGTCTTTTAAGCGGTATTAAAGAGTCAATGCTGCAGACATTAGGTTGTAGAACGGGCCAGAAAGAGAAGTGTCAAGCACGTTTCCACTTTCGGGGGTTCGAACCACCACCATGACGACCGTGACGACGGCGAAGAAGACGAGTTGTCTCCTTATGTGGGTGTCGAATGAAAACACTGGCTGGTGGAAAATCGTTCATAACATCAATGACTACTTGCTGACTATGATCCGTTTATTGTAAAACTCGGCCGACGAAATCAATCGATGTTCGGCGCCGAACACTCGACGAAAGTGATCGAAGTGACGAGTGCGATACGTTCGTTGTTCGCCGGTGTTGGGTGGTGCAGGGTGTTCGCCGAGGTCGGCAGTAGAGTCGCACGACGGAACGACCACACATGAAGCGCCCAGACAACGAAAAATATGGGAAAACAAAACATCTCATTCATAAACTCGCTGCAGTGGACGATTCCAATCAATAGAGACGATCGATAACCATAAATGTTTGTGGAGGGCTAGCTGATGCAAAGATTTTTTAAGGATTCAAAGCACTGATTTAATTCAGATAGTCAACAGATGTTTCGAGCAATTAATGAAGTACAATTATTTAATTGAATAAACCGAACAGACCTTAAAAACCGACTTTAATTAAACCCCGGCAAGAATAATCAGTATTTTTCTAATTGACTGAGCTAACACGAGATTGGTATAAAACTTTTGTCCAGCTAAGGTGTAAGCGTCTTTGCTATCTATCTTCCGAGGCGCTTCGGTCCGAGACGATGGTACACAGGTGATCGTGTCGCATCGAGTCGAATCCAGTGAAGCAACCACCGCTCGAATGCAGGAATTGCCGACATTCAATATGACCTGCTTCCTGTAGCAGACGGTACTTCATTTACTAGCATTTCATGCGGAAAATTATTAATTATTCCTGCCGAGGTTAAACGAAAAAGCAATTTTTAAGACATTGATTCCTACGTGACAATAAATGAAGCACTTACTGCTACAAAACCCATTGTCGGCCCAAAGTAGATCATACTGGAGACGGAAATCGATTAATACCCCTTGTGTACATGAGGGCACCGGTGAGTGAGGTTTTCCATTCGAGGGTGGTCCCTCCACTGGATTCGTCCTTATGTGACAAAGAACATCCAGAAAATGAAAAGAATCAGACAAAAGGATCCATTATATTTGAGACAAGTGAGGCAGATGAACGCTTTTTTACACATCTCCTGTCTCTTTCTAAAACCTGATAAAACTTTCAAAATTTATCGCTAAGAACCCGAACCACTTCTAGTTTCTGGGAATAACAGGATAATTAGGGAACTAAAGCTAGTGAAAGAATGACAGCAAAAACATCTAAAGATAGATAGAAAGAGAAGGAGCAGAGCGGAGAGGGATAAGGAGGAACGGAATGTTAAAAGAGATGGAATGAGAAAAAAGGATTATTCAAAGAGGAGAAGAAAGAGAGAGAAGAGTAGTGATGGAGATAAAGAGAAAGAATTTCGTGGAAAACTTCGATATTAAAAAGTACTAATTTTCTGGAAAACGAGACGATCTAGACAATTATTTTTCAATGGGTTTTTTTACTCTAAAGAACTGCAAACTTTGAAAAAACGACTGCTACTCAATTAGGCTATGAAGACGGCCCAACGGGGATCGATAAATGGAGTTCTTTATTTACGGCAAATTTCCAGCTTTGTATCGAATAAACAGTAAATTACATCAGCTAGCGTTCTTGGCTTTCCATAAGAAAATGGGAACGTTTCTCTTAGAAAAGGTGAATCCTTACAGTAGGAAGCTTTTCGTCATTAGAAAATATTCTTTTACGAATTGTCAAAGATGGCTGGCCGTTTCACTAATTTGTCCCAAATGCGTTTAGACAAACGAAGATTTTTTTAAGGAAAAAAATTCGTTTAGAAGCTTTAAGTTTATCTTTTTCTTTCTTTAAGATCGATTTCGGACAAGAATACTTCTAGTGTCACAATCACCTTAATTTATCTAAATTACTAATGACTCGCAAAAGAAAAACTGAGGAAGAATATTGGTATATATAGAAGAAATGATAGAAAAGAGAGAGAAAGAGAGAAA